AAAGTCCACAAGGAGAATAGGTAAACGTGATGCTGTGAGGATTCATCTCAGAACTTCGGCTGAACCTTACAAAATATGATGCAGTTCACCGGCTGATGGCAAAATCACTGCTCTTCTTTCATAAGTATTCACTATAATGAGAAGTAGCAGAATACCGGAACAACCATTAACTTTCAAAAATTTTCAAATATTTTAAATGAACTTGAACCTGCATTTTAATGTCATACTTAATTTAGCTCCATTGGAAGGGTGTGCTCTATATAACCAGGTCCACCGGATTTAGTCCATACAACTTCCTATGCCAGAGAGTGGTTTAACTTCGGAAACAAAATGTACAACCCGAATATTATAGTTGAATTCATATGCAACCACGTTCGCCAATACCTGGAGCTTTGGATATCTACGTACTGAATACGCAAGATAAAATATATAATATGTAATATGTATAATATAATGCGTATATAATATATAATATTTGATGTATAATAATTTGTAATATGTGATGAATAATATATATATATATATATATATATCGACAGAGCTACCAAGGGTTGCCCATTGAAGAATGGTACTGTCAATACAGCCCTGGAAACAACATCTGTAAATGTAGTTGGTTTGAGTGTCATATTGAACGACTGGCGTCTCTTTTGTTCCGCACTGAAGATGTTTCACTGTCACCCAAAGTGCATGCAGTTACCACATTTTATAGCGTATGTAGTACCTCAAACCAGGCTTATTTACTCTACTGATTCAGATTTGATGCCTGAACAGTGCTCTGTCAATAACTTGCAGAAGCCAAGGCACCTAAAGCAATTTTCAAACAAAACAGCCACGTCTCTATTTCCCGAAGTATTGGTAGTCAAGCCACAGCAGTGTTTTATTCTTATCGAGGAAGTGGTCATCACTTCAATGATCTAGACAGATTACAATACTTGTCCACCTATCCAGGTTAAGATGCAGTTTTTTGCTGTATCGCTAGGCCACTTGGTCTTATACGACCGGTAATTTTGAATAACGTGGTGAAACGCCGGACTGAGTCCCATGTGATTCCGCCCTACACATCTAAATATTTTGGGTAATGGAGATATCCTGCAAAGTTTCACGAGATTCAATAGATTGTTGACTCTCATTTCCATTTCCAACCAACGTAGAATTAAGTAACTTCTTGAGTTTTCTGGACATAATAAAGGATCGAGCGCGAAGCAAGGAAGGGCAGTTGTATTCTGCCACAGTGAAGGCATAAAAACTTGTTTGGTTTTTGGTCTGTTTGCCGAGATTGGCAGTTGGGGCAAACGTTTCATTGCCAATCGATGTCACCTCGATGTCAGCACAAAACTGAAAATACAAGTTGTCTGTAATTTGTGGGCCACTTTCATTCAAATGTTGCCCCTCAAATACCGTGGATACTAATAATATGGAGTTATTCATTGCTCGTTGGTAAAAAATAAGGTTGACCGAATAAAATCAGTTAATTGAATATGGGAGATTTGTCTCAAAGCGATCTGGATCATTACTTTGGGGTATTCCTTGTCACGTCAACCCGCTCTGATCAAGATCCACACAGAGCAAGAAACTGCTTGAAATGGGCATTGTGTCAAATGGAATAAAGTGGGCGTACAAAATTAGGCGGAATTCCTTAAACCAGCATTTTCAATCTCCAGCCCTTAACGATATACATCTAGTATAGACTGGATGCTTTGTATTTTTTTTACATTAACCACGGTAGGCAGCCGAGAAATGCACATGCTGAGAAGTTCTCCCTGGAATACTAGTCACGGATAGCCAGGTTTTTTAAATGTCCGGTCTTCCATGGCAGGGCAATAGCAAATTCTGCCAAAACACTTTAGAACGAATGAGACAAACGTCGTGATATTCCCAGCTAGTAAACAAATGTCTCAGTCGCCTGATATTTTATAACTAACAATTGTTTAATTTACTTTCATGCTAAACATTTGAGCCCGTTTCTGGAATCTTTGGCTAAGTGGAGAAGAAAGCCTTCAGTCTATGAATCCATGGTCCCAAGTGGTTCATATGGGGACAACTCAGCTCATGGACACGATAATTTATTCCTCGTGTCAGTGGCACGTGCCCCTTCCTGACAGCGCGCCAAGGCACGATGTACGGTGAACCGAAAACCTACCTACGCAGGTTCTGCGGGTATAGTGGTAGACTCACTTCCCAGCCACTTTATACAGGCAGATTTTCTGCCTTTAAAATCTCATACTGCTTTGTTATGCTGCAATGACAAAGATTAGCTGAAACGATGTTTCCCTGATGGTTTCTTTCATAATGCAACTGGTGGCGTTCTCCGGTGGATGGTGTTTATCATCGGAGTGAATTCCCTGGACTGCTTCAGTTTCTGGCGGCCTTGCAACAGCACCATCCGATATATGAGCATCGCTAGGTAACAGGTCTTGATCTGACGGAAGCGCTGATGAAGTCGAAAACCATTTGATTGGGTTCTAATGACTAACCGTTATTTTCATTAAAGGGACGTCAAATTTTCCGATCAACTTTTAGTAAAAAGTGATTACTCACTTCAGTCCGTGGAGAATAGAGGAAATTCAAGCACGAAATAAGGTAATCTTTCCGTCGTGAACGGTGCATCAAATCACTCATTCTATGTTTGGATTCAACTCGTAGTAGACAATAGAAAGAGGTTTTACTGGGTAAGGAGGGCAATCGTTTGAGAAATCGCTAATCTCGTTTGAACGGCCGTGTTTAAACGAGAGTGGTGTGGCTATGAACAAAATACCCATCGCGCAAAACCCCTAAATCGCTAATCACTTAACAAGAGGTCCACGATTTACAGTCATTTTGGAACGTCGAGCACATGTCTTGTGAGCACACTTAGACAGTCTGGTCATGCGCCAAACAGACAGTCGCACTTTTGATCGGTGACAGATTTGCATACTTTTCCAAAATGTGTTCCTAATCTCAGTTTCGTCGAAGGACATTTAAATAAGTTCACTTTCCTCCCACGCGTTTTTTAGGTGTATTCTGGATAATTTTTCACCAAGTAAGGCTAACGATTTGACTTGCAGGGCATATTGAAAACTGATGTTGCAGAGGGCGAGGTGTGATAGTTGCCAACAGATGTGTACTCGGTCATCATTACGTGCAGTAGGGCGTTATGGTTTCTGAGAGAACCTAGTATGCATCGATTCTAAGCACATACGGAATAACTTTTCAAAGACACAATCACTACCAACAACCTCAGAAGGTTAGTAGCAAATACAGGCGACTAGATGAAATGCATTCACCAGAAAAATGTGTCATGTATGCGTCTATCCTGCTGAGGGAAGCGCGATTATTTAGCGTTGAGCTCTTCCACTTGAGAAATCATCACATTTCTTGCGCACATTCTATGAACTCCAGTAAAGGCCATCAAAGTGCACAGTGGGTACAATGGGTGTGACAGGGCGCGTTTTACCTGCTATGGATTTTGTGCCAATGCAGACAAGAGTCACGTAGAATCCGGTTGGAGAGAATCAGGTATTTCGCACTCCCCAGAGTATCCCAAATTCTACTCTGAGCTACTATGAAATGGTTGTCCAGATAAGCAGTTGGGGTTTGCAAAGACTGTCTTAGACACAGGGCATGCATCGTACGCGTCGTGAACCCTGAAAGGCGACTCCTCACAACCTCACTTTAAAGACAGACAGCTTACAAAAACGAGGGCTTCTGATCACTTGTAATGGTTCCATGTGTGAGAACGTTTCTATTCATTGAGAGTTTTGTTGGATCAGGCACAATATGTTAGTGATTGGAATGTGGTTTGATGGCTATACACATTTACCCCCTTGAAATTTCTCAATCATTATTTGAATATTGAATAATAATAAAGAAGCGCTGCAAAGTGGCACCATAATTTCCGTACCAATCTTCTACCAGATAAGGGGACTACGCTTTCACAACTGATCAGACGTTACTTGCATGTTACACATGCATGCAGTACTAGCACATGTCTACGTAAGGGTTCAAGTCATCACTACTTGGTCTTTAACCCCATGCATATGACTTTAATTGGTCTACGAGCTAAAACTTGTTGACATTTTCAGTGCTGCTGAAAAATTAGGGGGTTACTCCCAATCCTTCACGTTGGTCGCAGAGCAGACCAGGATCTTTATAAGTGACCGCTGTGAATCAGGTGTAGCCGGATTTAGAAGGACTGTTCTTCGGCTAAAACCCACTGGTTTAATGTGGAACAGTTCGGTTGTCCAATATGGAGACTGGCATTTCTATCCACTTGTCACATCGTTAAGCAGTCGTTGGTCACAACTGTGTGGATGTCACGTGTATCCAACTAGCTTGTTGAATTCAGCTCATGAATCTAAATTCGATAGAAATGTAACTACCATTGGTTTTTGAAATAAGCCAATTGCAAAGCTATGCTAGCAGAGCAGCCGTCACCTGATCAACAGCCAATCTGAACTACAATACTTCGATACAGTACTGGTGGGCTACTAGAAAACCGGCCGTTTATCTTTTCAGCTTTCCGAGGTGCGCACCAGGGACCTGGAAATAACCTCGAGGGTTTTAAGGTTCAGCTTCGTAAAGGGGGCAGGAATACCCACTGAGCGACTCACTTGAAATTTTTTTGTAAGAAATGCGTCACAGTGAGTTTTTACAACGCGTGTGTGTTACCGCTGGCGTGATTTCTAAGCGCTGCACAATTTGAGCTTGAAAACAGTCTTCCAATAAACTCACCCGAGCTACCAATATTTCACCACATTACCAACAGTCTTCCAAATTTACCCAATAATTGTCATCAGTGAACTAAGAGACGTAATTAAAACTTGCGTATATTTTGCAAAATCCAGCAATAGGACAATATGGCCATTTACAAGGTCTAGCCCAGGCAACCAATCTTTAATTCCTGCCGGTTTGCATTCATACCACAGTATCCTCTGCCTAAAGTTATTGTTTCCCTCTGTTCCCATAGCAAGCATTTTCTAGTTCCTCAGTAGTAAAAGCGGAGTAACAGAACAATAATTTTATCCATTCTCTTTATATTTAGTTCCCAGTTTTCGGTCAGGTGTGAAACCGTCAGGTCAAAAGTGGGGAAAGGCATCGCAATCTATTTTACGCTGATGCACAGCCTCTGACCAAGTGACATTGAATAATTACAGTGGGATAGGAGGTCAGCAAAATTACGTGCTCACACTTGGTATATAAATCTAGGCGAATCAGTAAAATCTAGGGTAAAATTATTGGGATAAGCTGTGTTCCACTTGTGTTCAGAAAATGGAGCATTTTCAAGGAAACCTAAGCCGGGTAATGGCGAATCGTGCAAATAGACAAGAAAATGCGAAACCTAGAGACTATTGTCCGTTTCCTGCTTGTGCACCCTGATAGTGAAAATGTTGTATTCTTATAAGATAGGCTCATTTTTTGGGAATGCGACATTGACGTTTCTCTGCTCCTGGACAGACATGCGGACGCATGTCGGCGCCTGTTGCGGAAGTTCCCTGTGACACTGCATCACCGACTTCCAACAAGTGACGAGAGGGGATTTCGTTGAACCGTCCGGGTTTAGCGGAAAGTGTTTGCTGTCGCTTCCTCTGTTCACATGCCAATTGCTCTTTTACAGCGGCCATCTAAAATATGACAAGATTGGGAAACTTGCGACTGGGCTAAATTAGTAAGTATAGTGGGCATTCTGCGTATGCCGAAAATGCAACGATGTGAACAACCACCATATTAGCTAAAAAGTACACGGTCGTTTCATTCTGTCGTTCACTGAGCTTATTTATCCGACCGCTATCAATAAGATGACCTGACAATGATATGCACAGTCTTACAGTGATCACTTACAATGATCATGTTTTATCAGTTCTCTGAAGTGCTTATCAAATTGTTCCCACCCCCGTAACTACAACAAAAGTGTTCAAAGATCCAATTGCATGACCGTCCATTCCACTCGGCCCAGAAGTCATTCCGTGAGTGGAGGAAATATGTGCCAGGAACCCGAGAAACTGTGTTATCTGTTTCATTCTTTTTGGGACTCCAGGAAAATTTGAACTCGCGACCAGCTAATTGTTGAAGCTTAAAATGTTCGATCACGAGCGGCTGATCAGCAGTTTGATCAACTCCTACTTGGAATACAGCGCCAGGTATCCTTCACTCACGCAACTCACACCACATGGTCATGTACTGACTGACTACTTGAGAGGTGATCTCACAGATGAAAGGTTCACTCGTCTAACAACTTATAAGGCATCCTGAACTACATATGGAACGGAGTAAGATCTTGTGAAATCATCTCATACTATCCTATGCTATCGATAGACTTTTGCCCTTTTGTTGGATGTTGCTTCTTGATTGATTGTCTTCTTAATTAGATAATAAACCCTGATATGGAATATGTACAGGGGAGAATGGCTATTCACAAATTTGTTCCCAATAAACACAACCCGGTAGTCCATCATGAGCGTTACTCTTTGTGAAGCAATGCCATCAGACCTGGAGAGTGAAGGTAGTCGGATGAGTTTTATCGCTACCTAGTTTTTGTGCTTAATGTCAACTCAATCAGATAATCACACTTTCTATTTGTCAGGAAGCGTTCAGACACGAAAAGTACATGTACAGCGGACGACGCGTCCTCAAGGTCACAATCGGCTGCACGCGGTCCGGATATCACGTGCGTTGGTGGAGCATGCCAATCATGGCTTGGCAGCATGCGACTTAGCGGAGTGGGCGTGAAATTGCTCACGGCAGGAACGCCACCATTGGCTGGAGAGGACGAGCAAGCGAATGACCATAACTGGATCTTTAGTCATCCTATACAAGTACACAGAAGTTCTGTATGTTCTGTCCTTACAGTACGGTGGTGCCCCGGGTTCTCTATCGTCTCCTTGTCGCGTAGCTGGGCTGATTCAGTTCCGGTGTAATCAATAGGCGGCTATCCACGATACAACACTATCCTGCCAGATATTAATAAGGGATAGTGTCGTAATAAAAGAGTGACAGAAAACACAACTTTGGTCAACTGGTCCCACACCGCATATGGGACCATTGTTCACTTTCAGGAAATGAATTAAGGCAAGCTGTCACATAAGACCCACAAGTGGTTTACTCTTATTCAGGGTGGTCTTCCAGAGGCAGAATCTTTACTGTTATAGGCTCCTCTAATATTGCTTAGGTACCATCACTCACAAAGATACACGTTTCCTCAACAGCAGCTGTAAGAAAAAGCTGTTTTTTCGAAGCCCAGCATCTACGCGTCCCTGAAACTTCAGCACTACAATATTGGGACCACAACTCGAAAGTCGTCTAGAACCGTCATGCGGCGATAATAGCTGGGGTTGTATCAGATCTATTTGACATGTAGTCAGACGTATGTCAGAAAATCACAAAGTCAATATGTTACTCTCTTTCAACTTAGCTAAAGCTTCTCCTTAAGGCCCTCAATGTCTTCTGGCTACCACACTCAGTGTCTTGAAAACCTAGGTTTCTTGTACGAGGACGAGGTACACAAATAATAAAGGCAGACCACCGGGATGTATCTAGAATTGTAACGACGTGACTCATCATAACGTTTGACGATCTAAGTAAAAAAACCGAAGAAGCATATGTTGTTCACACAGATTTCTAGCAGTGGGTTCAGCAAAATTGTTCATAACACATACAGAACAGATGGAAGATATATAACTGGCAACCAACTAACATGGAATAAATGACCCATACCTTGATTCTCAAATGAATGAGCTGCGGACAGGAAACGTCACAAAGAACATGAGACACCAACAAACCACCCACTTTGTCTTGATCCGGAAATCATACGTTGTCAACAAAATCTATGAGTATCACTTCCTAGAACAACAAAGCTTTTTACCAGAAAAAAAGCAGATAGAGCAGAGCCTAATGGCAGCCTACCACAAACGTTTTACTACTGTTCTCTTGTCCTTGTCACCTGCTTTCATGAGATGGAGGTTCTATAAGCCTGTAATCCTTGTATCTATGATGGACACGTTTCTTGTCCTAAATGCCTACGGCCCCAAATTTCGGCGCCGTAGGTCATTTTGATTCGCAGTCGAGGTTATCGATCGTCTATTCTGTACTATTTCAACGTCTTAGTTACTTTTGTTTTGCCGGATCAACTAGTACCAACGGATCCGTTCCACGTTGTAACCGGTCGAAATACTGGAGGTGACTGCTGTCACAGGCCACTGATTATCTAGGAGAAGTCTTCCCCTTTCAAGATTGACGTTTTGAATCTGCCTCTACAATGTAAGCTCCCTAACACTGTTTACGTGATAGCAATCGGAGAGTCGTGGTTAAACTGGTACTGTGATACGTGCTTAGTAGCTATTTCTTCTTACATTTGTTTCTAGCTCAATGCGGGGTGAAGAGCAGGAAGCTCTTATCATTCGCCTACGATTTTGTTCTCACCATTTTTGTTATTCTAATGTTTGACAGTACCTCTTTTACCTCAATTCCTAACCTATTTTCACAGCATACTGTCATTACTTGATACACGGGATGAGTTATTGGAAGCATTTTTCTGTGACAATCTTCGTGTCGTATCGGACTATCTTAATAAGGTCTGTCCTATGACATTTTTTCGGGCATCCATGATCTGTTTATGGAGACAACCAGGGATGGGATCCAACATGATCATATGTGTACCGGCTCCCGTGATTCATTTTCAGACTTTTATCATATAGCCTCTAATTTGTGCAACCAATTTAGATCCTAAGAGGGTTGTTCTTTCGCGGCAGACCGGTTAGATTTATGCATTTTGGGCGAATCCGAAAATAGCGGGAGAAACTTTTAAAACATGGGAGCAACTTGTTGTTTGTCACCGTCGACTTGCGGTTTTGTGTCTGCTTACGCCATAACTGACCCTGATTCGCACACTTGTGTTTTAAAGTCTGCAGCCACGTACTGTGAACCCCAGTGTAGAAATGCCACGGATAACATCCAGAAGTTTCTTTAATTCAATGATTCACTTCAGCCGTCCCCAAATCCGCCACAGTGAGTTCAGCACCAAAACCCTTTACTTTAAACGACCGAGCCACCAGAGCTTGAAGCAGTATGCATCCCTCAACTAAATTGTTTTTTTTCTAATAATAACCTGTTAGGGATTTAGTGATTGCGCTCCATTCTAATGGGCCGGTATCCATGGCGGCTTAGCACATTCGCATGATGACCCCAAACAAAAATCCTCAGAAGGAACCAAATTCCTCTGACTAGCTGATTCTAGGTTTCCAAAGGAGACGCAATGAGTGCATGGACAGAAAGATCTACAGTAAAATCAAGTTTAAATCTTCTCAGATTTGATATGGTAATAGAGCCTCTTGTCTTACCTGTTCCTCCAGTGAGCGCACACGCTGACGATGGGCTCGTTCACGTGCCTCAAGCGCCCTTTCAGCTTGGGCTTGACTGCTTTTCAGTCGTTGCATCTCTCTCTCCGTTTCTTCTCGGTGTCGGTTCGCCACGTCTGTCAGTCGCTTCGCATGCAAGTGCTCGAGCTCTGTTAGCCTCGTCTGAACCAGAAAATCAACAGATCGATTCACATTTAAACCACTTATCTCAAACTAACTACGTACATGGCACCAAGAAAATAATGTATCACTTTAGACTACTTAAATCTAACAGCAGGGACAATCGATTCAAGAGCAGGACTATCAATCATACTGATGCTACACGTGGTCCATGGTCCATGGTCCTTTGTTCCTGTGACCCAAACCACAAAGATGAAATCATGAATTGGGAGCTTAAATGCGCTTGCAAGAGAACAGAGAAGTTACTGAGATTAAAAACCAAAACACAGCTCTATAACCACACCGGTCGACCTGCACTATCTGAATGCTGATACACAAACGTCTCTGGTGAATGCGGAATGTCTACCGGGCTCTACATCCTGAGCAGAAAAGAGCGGAAAAGCGTGTGCTCGAAAGTCAGACGATTGCCGATAAAATTTTAAAGTCAAGAAACAGATAATTGCATTCGTCATCATCATCATCATTGTCAGCTGTAATAAGCGCGCACTTGTCGTACAGTGGTTGTAGCTGCCACGGTTTCCTTCACCAATGGTTTGGGGAGGTGGGTAGACAGCTGCGCATTGGAAGCGGGAGCTGATAAATTGGTGCGTAAATACGCACAGTCAGTGGACTGTCAGGTGGCGGGATTGGGAATGGAGCTATGCACTGAAGGCAATAGCTTGTATGCATGAACACCATTGAGGGCGCGACTGGGCCATGTCTGGCAATGTCTCTAATCATTGATATGGCCCGTCTCGAGGTCCCCATCCAGGATGACGGGAATGACCAGCACAGCTGAGTTTGCTGGCACTGGCTTTCACACTTCGCTGCCAAGTCATTGTTTGACCGCCTCTGTCTCTTTTCCACCCTTCACGTGGTTACCCATGATCTCACCAACGATAGGTGTGCGTTCATGTCTGTGGAAAACGTGTTTCCAAGTTTCATAAAGCAGCGATACCGATAATGCACGCTTAACATGGTTAAGATTGTCCAAAAAGAATGGTTCGCATGGGCATTGTGGAGTAGGCGCATGCTCAGCTTTCCAGACAGCGAAAGATCGAACTGCAATGAATACGAGCTATGGCCGAGATGGATCACATGTTTAGACCATGAACCCTGGTGCGACTATCTGGATTTATTACATGATAATCGTTTAAACGGGTGTTATGAATGGAAACCGAAGCATCCGACCGATTAATGTAATCGAAGTACAGCCTTGCCCACCCACTGAGGACACATCACGCAGTGTGTTACGCCTCCATATACATACATGGTCTGAGTTTGAAATCAGAAAACGCAAATTAAACATCGCCATGTTTCACGGCTGTACACATTTGAGTACGCAAGTCAGATGCTGACTACTACTAAATTCTACATTTGACAGTCTAACAAAATCTCGTCGTGAGTGACTATATGGACAGTATTGTGAACAGTTTCCAAGCTCGTTAACACGAAAACGTTTACGCAACGGTGACCAAAAAAGGTTTTCAAGATTGCAAATGCAAAGGGTTCTGCGCTAGTAAAACCTTGTACAATTTCTGGATCACATTATCATGGTAATCACAGAGTGACGATCCCCAATATTGAGTAGTCTGGCAGTGGTGTGACAAATAAAGTAAGATCATCATAACCTTTTGTCAGGACGCTCATACGCGCATTTGGAAACAACACGGTGCGTCAGGACCTCCATAAGATTGTGGTCCTGTCGGGTAAGATGGTGGAATTCGAAGGTTAGTCCTATCCACTACTTTCATTTGTTCTACACATGTCAGATAAACAACAGAGACACCCAGAAGTGCAACTGAATAATTCGCTGGTTTTACTTACCTGTAAATATTGCACTTGTCTTTTCTGATCGGTGTTTTCCTCTTCAAGTCGGCGAAGAGTAAGTTCTAATCCTGTCCTATCGACATTTCCCTTATTCAAAATTTCCTCGTGGTGCAGCTTCTCCCGCTCCACCTTCTCCAAGTTACGGCGCAATTTCTGACGGTCCTTTTCCAGATTAGTACTGGACTTTGCAAGCTGCTCGCGTTCTGCTTCAGCTTCATAAAGCGCACGTTGCAGACTGGATACTCGCTCCTGGAGTTCCTGTCGTTCACTGACAGCCTACAGTCGCATTGTAGTATGAAATACTGAATAGTTAATTCACCTCGTCAAGCTTGTTTAGATTGTTTGAAATTCAAACTATTGGGATTTCACATTGGAGGTTTTATTCCGTTCAGAGCCGATATAAATTTACCAGTCAGCCAGTTATTACCATAGTTCCTTTACCATAACAAAGTATATATAATGTATATATATAGTATACATATAGTGTATATAGTCAAAGTGACCGAATTCCCTTTCGCGAAAATAACGTATCCGATTGGTATTAGATATGAAAGTGATTCTTGTTGACCAGTATGAGAAAATAATTATAGGCGAACGGATAACTAACTCATTAGGTGATCACGAGAAACCTTCAAAAGGAACCTAATAATAACCAATATTTTACCGGCTGTTTGAGCAGAAGACCTGGTGAAAAACTTGATCCACCGTTCATTTGTTCAATAAACTTGATCGAAGTTCTTTCTTCCGCGATCGAGCTGATTTTATCGGGTCGCAGTGGAGAAACGGTGGACTCGTACGGATTGTTTTACAGCGAGCTTAATGATAGCCTGATTTTGAAGCAACATTATTACTCACCAGTTGAAGCTGTTTATTCGTGTCTTGCTCGGACTGCTGACGGTTGTTCAGGGTGTTATTTAACTTCCTTATTTGGCTTTCCAGTCCAGAACGTTTGGCCTCTCCTTCATTTATTTCTGCCTGTAAAGTTTGAATTCGCTCCAAAAGCTGCTGATTTTGCTGTTTCTGTTCCTGTAGCAGTGATTTTACGTTTTCCAGTCGTTCCTGAATGCATAGGAACAAAAAGTGAACAAAAAGCCTTCTCAAACCGCAGTAAAACTGAAACGAAAATCTAGCCACTTTATCGTTCACCAGATGCTTTCTGTTGCTTACCAAATAGAGGAGAACGCTTACTCAGTGAAAGCATCTAACTACAACATCTAACACTGGATTTTCGCTTTACTTGGACCCAGATTATTAACACCAGGGCTCTTGGTTTCATGGATGATTCGGACGACATTATACGATGATAAGTCTTGTATCACAATAGCCAGCTAACACTGATTCTCTGTACGTCAAACTGGTCCAATAACTGGTCGCTTGGTTTGCTCTGTATTGCTCTCATAACAGACAAATCACTGTTGGGAATCAAATTTCGCCATTCACTGCCTCACTCGGTATAAAGAATTCCCCTACACAGCAAGGCGTACCTGGTATTATTCACAACAGCACCCATCTACTCTATGTCCATTCGAAATTGTTATATCCGGTGAAATGTTGAAGTCACACCCTTCTGTAGTTTTTTTGTCCTTGCACGAAAATGCACACTGTGACAAACCGAGCTTCGGGTGTTCTTAGGATTCAACGGGATTAGAATAAACTACAAATGAATGGGACGAGAAACAGGTGACTCTATCTTTTACCTGCACAATCCGGCGATCTTGATCGCAATTGGCCATGGATTTCTGCAAGTCTTGGAGTCTATTCTGCAATTCTTCAATTGTCTGCACACGTTCGGCAAGGTTCAGATTAAGCTGATGAATTTTGTCTTTGTTCACATTTCCCAGCTCCTCCGATTTAGACAGGGCACTGCTTAACCGGTCTATTGTCATTTGCAATGACTGGGATTTCGATTCCAAATCCTTAAAAACAAAACAATAATGTGAAATTAAGTAGCTGGCAGACATAAAGTAACGACTCACTGTTTATTTCTCCAGTGTATGAATCACTCATGGATTGTGAGCAAATGCTCGTGCCTATCCCGTTAAATGCATTGTTAGAAATTAGAAAAAACATCCACACATTGCTTTCTAAGCTCTTCCGGAACGCTGAAAGAACAACCGTTAAAGTTACAGGTATAACGAATGACATGTCCCTATATCCAGTTATCAGCCCCGTACTCACCAACACCTGAAGTGTATTCATCGCTACTGTTCTCTGTGGATAGGTTCGTATGAACGAATGATGATTCTGTTTCATCAGCCTATAGAGTCAATATCAGCTGGTGCAGATGATACAGACCGTTTTAGTAGGTAAAATGAAACGACTCAAGACTATTAGCATGAAAATTTGGCTAGATTGTCTATTTTGTTTATTTACGTAGAGAACATTGACATCTCGGCATAGTTCAGGACAAAGTACAAGTCAGTATTCATGTTTGGTTTCGAATCTGTTGGTGCCAAAGTAAGCGGACCACATCGATAAATCACAAAATATGTAACAAAATTTTTCAAACACTCACAGATGTCATGCTTTGAAGTGCATATTGCATACTCACTTGTATTTGCTTGCAAAGACTGTCGATCCTGTCCTGAAGTATATTATTCTCGGTTTCCCTGTCAGTGACACAAAGTTTTGACCGTTGAAGTTCCCCTTCCAAAGAACGTCGGGCCACTTCAAGCTGGGTTATTCTGTTTTCAGCTTCTTCGAGCGCACAACGACTCAGTCGAAGTTCTTCTTCTAGTCTTGTCTCCGCTTGACGCATCTTTTCCAACTTCTCCTGAACATCGTTTGGAAGTACAAAAATGCCGTGAGAAATATATCAACAGAAGAGCGAATCAGAAACAAGATTCACAAATCTGCCTTGTAATCCGAAAAGGTCTTAGCTCATTTGAGGCTCGCCCTGACTGCATACTGTGCCGCGAGCGGAGTAAGTTCATTGCTCACTCTGCCGTCAGTGCAAGCCGAATGACTCAGCTTCTTTCTGATTCGAAATGTGGATGAGAAAATACTAGTCTTATAATGTCAATCTGGTTTGGGATTGTGCATCCGCACTATGAAATGCCTCGAACACGCATTGATCTAATAATAGACCAAAAAAGGCAATAAATCAGGGCGCGAGACATTTGTCTAGGAGGATTTCTGTGGAAATAACGGTTGCCCTACGCTTAGAGGTTGCCTAAGAACTACTGACCTAAAACCCTCCTTTCATTTTATTTAGACTGGAGAAGACAGCTGTATGACATTAACCATTTTGACTAACAAACCAATGATTTGGCAAAAGGAAACCAGGCTCTGGAATAATTCTATTTCCTTGCATGATAAGCATTGTCAGCAGTAAAGTTAGTTGTTTGGGGAAGGTATCAGAGAAACTAATTGGTATGACTTTAGTCACAAAGTATGGCTGTTCTACAGGATATATTTTTTCTTATTAGAATACCACTAAACCAAATACGATGCATTTTCCTTGATTTCATTTGATTTTGGCAGAAACACTACGTTTCCTATCGATTGCGCAAAGAAGGAAACACCCTCCACATATTCTGGGTTGGTTGCAAGAAAGAATTAGCACTCGATAAGAATGTTTTCAAAAACCATTGTATCTTTTTTGACTACTTTGTTTGCATCAGACCAAGCGCTATTCTGATTTCTTACCTGTTCTTCACGTTTTTCAGACTCCGATGCTGCCAGCTGTCGTTCCAGTTGGCTGATCTTATCGCCAAGCAACTTCCTATCTCGTTCATTCTTGCGAAGTGCCTCTTCTTGTAACATCAATGCAGTCTGTGTACTAGACAGTTGTCCATCCACACCTCGTCGACCTGCGGGACGCGAAAGACGAAAGACAAATGCCAAAATAATCAAAAGACTGGTACTATTGATCATGCTGTTTCAAAGTGGCACGTTACAACTAATTTCGTTTCAAGATGCTTCTGTTTAGCTGGTTTCCAAGCAACATGCTGATGCGAACAAACGCGCTGTTATGTCTTGAATAATCACTTGTTTGAGAGCACATGCAGAAATAATAAAACCATATTTTACCTGCTTCAGCTTCGCACAAAGCTTGTTGAACCTGATGCAGACGACGTGCCCATCCTTCCGTCTGCTCAGATTGCTCTTGTAAGCGCGCCTGAAGTGACTGAATTTGGGCATATGCATCCTCCAGATCTCGCTTGACGGCAGTGTGACGCTGGAGAAATTCGTGCAAGGCCAAACGCACACATTCCGGATCAAGGTCAGATGCTGCTGGTATTCCACAGTCTCCAGGGTCCCGTCCACATCGTTTGTCCGCATCCGGACAGAGTTCTGGTAATCGGTTTGAAAACTGGATTGAAAAAGCTTGATAACTAGAGATACAATGACTTGTAGTCCCATGAGCGTTGCAAGGCCTGCCCCACAAAAGGGGATTATCTACAGCTCAGCTTCTCACTAACCGTCCTAAGCAAACTCAAAAGTGGCACCCACGCCTTATTTAGATGTCCACAAAAACTAGCTGGAAACAGAGCAGATTAGCATCATATCTAACTTCCAAATACAGTAGAAGTATTATTAACTTTCCTGTTTACGTGAACATGTTGTTCTTGAGAATGAAGCCATAAGTACATGAGGTGGATGTGATTGGAGTGAATCTGTGATATGCTAAGTTCCACCCAGTTACTTTAATGTGTCTCCGGCTTTTGGTTTTGAATTCAGTAGCTTAAACGTACAGTATATCCTTCCGTCGTACCAATTAGGAAAAATTAAAATAAACACCCATGAGACAGTGTCCAGTTATTCCAACATAAATAACTGTTCCTGTTGGTTTTAACCATTCCCTCTGTAATGAATGCAGATGAATTTACAGAAAATATGCCCATATAAGGTATGCAAGGACTTTTCGAATGTTGCTGATTTGATGTAAACGGGACTCTCAGAGTATGACAATACATTCCGAGGGATGAATGCAAACGCTTCCAGGGCATTTTCAGCAACTCACCCCGAGCTACTTTCAGCATCGCGATGCTCAAAGACCTAAGAAGTAGTTGTGCCCAACAGTCAAGAATGCAAGGTCATGGTGAGCACTCTGTGACCAGTTATTCTGTCGATAAGGGCAAAACGAAAATTATTTCGAGTCATTTGAAGGACGGCAAACTGATAAACAGGGGCGAAATTTATGCAAACCAGACGACGTTTCAAGAAAACAGATTGCTGCAAAATTCATCCAAATAAAAACGTTTCGCAAAGTAGTCATAGCCAATTCGTCGGGTCACTCTTCTAAGTGTATCGAAGAGTGAAATGAAGTAGGAGTATCTAGAGGCTGCCTCCACTAGGAACCAAGTACCTGGAATTTAACGAGCCGCTCATTTAGTATTCAAATTGCAGACGTATCGAATAAGTGTTCCAAGGTCCTTTGTGTTCGAAACATGCCGAGAACTTCTCGTGGAAAATGGTCTGATAAGGATACGGAATGGGACTGTAAGATGAAATTCGCAGTTAACAGGTTTTCAAAAGCGAAGGCCTTCATCAGGTGGCCCGCACAAGGTAGATTTCATTTGACTATACTAGACAGGAAATTCGAAGTTGGCTCCTCTAACAGGACAGTCAAAAGGACGTCTTTCTCATTTTGCAGTGAACAGCAAGTCAGTGAGGTACCGTGGTAATGTATTTGTCCGCACTGATCAGTCATGTCTGCTATCCCATTTATGGAACAGTAGAGGCATGAGTACCATGGGGAATATGTTACCGTAATGAAAAGGCTTCTCCGCGGCTGGAGCGAGTTATTACGTACAAGTGATAGAGTGTAGATAGCAGCAATAGAGGGGAGAGTGAATTTGGGGGCAAAAATGTCGTCAGAAGTAAGAAAAATTGTGCTCAGTATCATCTTTTGGTCATCATCAACATCTTGAACTGTGCCTATTGTGTAAATTAGGATTGGACCAACTTCACTGTCGCTTCTCATGATTTTGGAAAGAGCATTATGTTTTTCGAGTTTGTGCGGTCACTTCCTTGGTCTTGGCCTAGTTTGTCCAGCACATCCGCGCTTACCAGATCACGCGACTCCTTTGTTCCGCAAACGCACATATCACGTGACAATCCTGTCCCACTCGCAACATAGACCGATAAGTCAGTTCCCGTCTTGTAGGCGTTGGAACGATTTTATGTATTCTACACACCTCAAACCTTCCTATATATGGGAAGACACAACACAGTCACCATATAAACTCGCGCGCACAGGCGGCAGGATGTCGACCAAACTCCACAATTCCGCGGATCTTTACGGAACACGTGTAGCAGCTACACCGCGAAGAAAACACGTCCCCGACATCCGGTCTTTCACCCAGGAACTCTCACGAGTTATCCACAAACGAAAAGTCAACTTTCGACTTATTCCATCATTCGCACCGTATTTATTTTATCATGGTGTGACCAGTAAGTGTCTACTATATTAAAAACTGTTATTGCTGCATACACTTTTTGAGTTGTTTTATCATAGCCTGTGTACTGATAGGTTGCATGGGTACCAAAACACGACTGATCACAAATTCGGCAGACAAATAGGATAAATGACGAGTTGAAAATCTGAAAGCTCGTAGCTAAGGATGGGTTGGGGAAGGCGGGCGAAAGCAATGACCATAATAACTTTCCATGTGTTAGATAAACGATAGGTTCATTAAAATTATTTCCTGATAAAACAGTAAATTGGAGAGTGCGCAAGATTGAACACAATAGGTTGCTTTGGTGTGGATTAGCTCTGTCCGGAGTGCACGATGGCAGTCAACCCAAGCTTTGACACCATATCCTCTCTGGCTATTCCTTTTACAAGTGTACTTGAGCAGACTTTCTGACTGGAAAGTAATGTAAAATGGTACCACGTCAAAAGGTTGCGGAACTTCATGGAGACGAGTAAACTACGCGTCAAATAGCACTTTCGAAACCATCGTGGAATGCAACTTTAGTAACTAGTAAGAGGAAGCATCTGCATTTAATTAAATGAACCAGAAGTTCACCTGGTGAAGCATTTCGACTGCCTGTCGGACTTCCTCGGATTGGTAAGAACCTGGCTGGAGACTTGGAAACTGCACGGCGTCCTACTGCTGTTGAACGACGACCCTGACGATATCCCAGCAGCCGTCGTAAAGAGCTGTGAATGGATCCAAGTTTCTGTTCCAGCTCTCTGCGTACCTCTTCACTGCGGGATAGACTCGATTCTAGAGTGAGTATCTTGGTATCAGCATCGTTGAGTGTGAGTCGAAGTTCGGCAACGTCAGCATTCACTGCCTCAATCCCACTCTGAAGTTGATTGCGTGCTTCAGTCAGACGACTTTGTTCACAAGTCGCATGGTCCAAGGCTTGTTTGAACTCCTTTTCTCGACTGGTTAGTGTGCCTTGTAGGTCGATGACGCGGCGTTCCGCGCTGGCAACTTCTTTTCGCAAAGTAGCTCTACAAGTGAAATAAAAAATTTATCAGCCAAAGAAAATTAACATGAGCTGATAATAAGTTAAGTACCGTGCGACATAGGTCACAGGAGCATTCTGTTGGGACACAGAATAAGTATAAAGTTGCTGCTTAGCTTGAGCACGATTCAACTCTGCTGTCAGCCAATACAGGGAAATCGGGTTCTTCATCTGACAATCAAACCAGATAGAATCACCGCAGAACAGCAAGTAAAATGTTCTAGTTGCTCCTGTTAACACTAAACATGGATGCAGATTTGAAAGAAAAACAAAGCAACAAAAAAGCTTAACCCCTGGATATCTGGAAAGAAGAATAACTGGCAGGTTACAAATCTAACTTCATCATCCATAGGTTGCAACCGCAGGATCGTTTGCAAAATCGATGTCCTCTGAAATCACCCTAGCAGTAACTGCAGCTTCACTGTCACTAGAACAATTGAATGTAATCAAATGAAACTTATACTGAGATATATAAGCAGACAGCGCTGCTATACTAGTTTATCCTAGGGTCCCACAACCTAGGTAGAAACTGGTAGAACGAATGATTCCTTTGAATCGACGTGAACGGTCAACCCAGAACATCTTGCGAACTTTATCCTAAAAGTCACGTTAATCTAGCTGCCTTTTTGTCAAAGCTTCACAAGAGTTATATTGACTTTCAGACCCAGTGAGAATTCAGATCATCGTGATATTTCTGAAAAAGCATCACGGTTGTGTCATCACCAAAGCATGGTTCCAGCTAGATTTGTGACGTGTAGCTTGTGCACCGAATAACCAATTTATAGCGTATTTAATGACTAAGCGGTGTAGGCATTTGATACACTCAAACGTTATTGACACCTCAATCACCCTAAATAGCATGCCGGAACCATGTCCTGTAAGGCTGATCAAGCGCTTTTTGCCGAACCTCACTGTTAATTACACAAATACCCTATTAGAAACTCCGTAAGCATCTGCTCCGAAAAACAACTGATGCATCAGTGAACCGGAAATGCCAGTGCTCGCAAAGACACGACAATATCGTGCGAACACTTAATTTGTTCACGCGTCTACTCACTGACATTCTCACAACGCGAGTCTAAAAAGTATCTTTCATCGGGACACTGCGAAAGATGTTGTCGAAGGCAACTTTGAAGAGAAATAGTTATTTGGAACTTCGCAACATTGTCACTCAGCACAGATGGCAGGAAGTATTAGTGATTCTTTTTCGTAGAACTCCACTTTATTAACGCCCTCAGTTACAGTGGTGAGTGCAGTTTACACTCCAGACATAGACAGGCGGTCCAAAAGAAATATTATCTCCGTTAGCTCAAAATTCATACGTCTGTGTAGAAATACTTTTGGCATGGCTGTTGGGAGAGGCGATAGTGCCCTTAACTTTTGTGAGTAAAAATGTTTTTGGCAGAACTTGAACCAAGACGAGTCTTATTTTGTTCTCCCCCGTTTTCTGTTTCACACAAAAGTCACACAAACCGCGAAGGATTGTACAAACATGGCTCTGATTTATGGCTAATGCGTCTGTGGTCACTCCCGTTTCTCCTTTTGAGAATTCAGGTACTAATCATTACAACCTGCGATGAAACGGTCCCTTGAACAAGCCAGCTTCATGAGAAGAGGAACCTTAGTACTTGTAAAGATATGTAGTCGTTGTTTTTGCCAAGTGCTGGGGCCAGACAGTGGGAATCCAGTGTTGATTGCGTTTAATGGAATACCCCTTTATATACGTTTGAGTATGGTAATTAGGCGGACAAGGCTTAGGACCGAAGGTGAGCGCAGTTAGTATCAACATCTGAAGCTTTACATCAAAAGTGAGCTTTTGACTGTGGCCCACGATAATTCGGACGCTTTTGGAGATAGTTTACCGATATATCTCCTGCTTCGCAAACACCTTCGTCAGAAGATCCGCCTAGTACAATATAACAGACTGAAAATATAATCATCTTTCGGAATACCGACAGTAACGCACTGATGCATACTTCCTCTGAAGGCAGGTGGTGTTGAGTGACAAACATGCTGGCAAATTACGAAGTTACTCTCACGAATTCGGGGATTTTATAAATGCTGGTAATGCGGATATTTATGGACCACTCGCGACTACTAAGCTATGGTAAATAATTAGTATGTCTGTATCAATGCCGGGTCGTTATTCCCCTTTTGAGAAATACCAAAATTTTCAAGGAGATGACTTATAGCCCAAACATGTGTAATATTGATTTTAGTCTAATTAACGCTTCGTTTGAAATAAGTATCGTCAAATTCACTCGCTTTTTGCGACACCCTGAATCTAATGGCGTTTAAGTGACTGTTTTCCTGGCCAGTATGCAAGATGCGCGGCTCAAGTGTTCAAAGCGACTCATGTAGTCTTATGCGACGCATGAAGGCCGAAAAGTACGTGATCGGTTGCCTCAACAGATAGTGCTAACCCCCGACTAAATTAACACCCCAATGAACATGGGAACACAACTTGAAAGTGACCGTCCTACAGGGACTAAGGCTTAGAAAACTGTCTTTATGGAGGGCTGAACAGGTTGCCACAGTCCAACGCCTGTTTGCAAAATGTCTCATTGTTGCTGGATTTACTGTTATGTGCAATCCTTCATTGGCCTCTCCGAAATGGTGACTTCTGTAGGATGGTTAGAAAATAATCAGAAGAGTATTCACCTAGAAGCGTCCAATTCATTTATTCTCTGCTTCAGTTTAGCATTCTCTGATCTGAGTTCCGCACATTTCTCTTCCTCTTTTCCGATTCGGGCCTGAATTTCGGTGAGGTCTTTTGCCAGACGCTCTTTTTCAGCGTTGATGTCCTTCAGTTGACGCCGCGCTTCCTGAAGATCACGGCGTATCTCTAGACGCGTTTTCTCACTGGAACGCAAACCCGCCTTGAGTTCAGTAATCTCTTTGTGATTGGAGCATTTCTGTTCTTCCAGAGCTATTCAGAATGAGAAAGATAGCTTCCATTACTTTTGATACACGTATAATTGAACAGACGAAAATATGACCATCCTTCTAATACTGAGACTTTGAGTGAGTTTGCGAATTCAAAAGATTAGGTGTTCTTTGAAAATATCACATCGTATAGTTATTGTGCCCTGGTTTTAGAATATTTTGGAATGGGTTCCTACCCTACATAGACTATCACAACTGCATTAAATAAGTAAGCACGATGAGCTCGCTGGCTGGTTCGCGTCTGCTTTGTCTTACCAGCTGATCCATGGCAGATGTGCAAAACAACATGTGAACCAAGGATTACGAACAATTTTAAAATCTTGCCAACCATATATTGGCACGAATTTTGAATTGCACATCCAGGGCCTGCAGAACTTTATAGCTAGCCTACTGTCATCGTAGAAAGCGAGGCAAACGTGATCTCCTTATGTAGGGTCGATGCGTTCGCTAAATGGACCGAATACACCCAGAATTCTCATTGTCTGCTACACAGGAGGACTTTCATAAAATGGTTATCTTAAGAGATGGACCACTAATGAAGAACAAAGGTTTAGGCAGAACTCATGGAGAGGATAAGTATGATGTGAAAATTCGAAATAATCATTCTAAAACAATCAGATGGTTCTCGGACGGTCTAGCCTCACTTTGCTTCCCTTGCATACCAAAATAGAGTCACGTTATCTCAGTTCAACGGATTTCCTTCTCGTTCTCATAAATACCCGCATAAGATGCTATAGGTGTTGACAACCCCTTGAAAGAGGCGGAGAAGGTGTTACGTACTCACATCTCCCACAAGTATCAGTGAAGTGTCCGGATGATTTCAGTGATAAAGCAAGGTTAATAAGAATTATTCGCTGCAGCGCGCACTGAAATACTTACTTAAATTCCTTATGTGGAACTGTGATATACTGGTAAATCAGTGGGATATGCCTTTTAATCAGAACCAGTTCTTCAAACCGAAATAGTAGGTTATCTACTAGGTAGCTGGCCCTGACTAAGAAACGTAACTTGAAATAATGGTATACTGAAGAAGTATCCTAGCAACATGAGATAATTTTGAGTAACGGAAACTGTATAAATTGAGTTATAAGGCCACTTTGCCTTAAGTAATACATGTTGTGACTGTGCCAAATATTCTAAACTGTTTCTTTTTAACCGTGAATGGGCCATATCTACGAAGGGTGGATTATATTTGAAATGCAGAAACGTTTGTGTGACAGATGACTTGGATATATGAACACATGGAAAAGTGCAGTGCTATGTGACGTTTAATTCTGAAAGATAATTTTTGCCGTTATAAAACCATGGAGTGAATTTGTCCCAGGGGATATTATGACGCCTATTGCCTTAGGCGCACATCCCCCATCGATAGGCTGGTGTTCGCGAATATCCTTAATGTGTTTACCTTTCGCGCCTAAGAATATTCTGTTCTCCAAACTTTATTTGTCTTGGTCTGTGCAAATTTACGTTTGAGTTTTCCGTTTATCTCACTATGTTTTACATCCCTACACCCTCAAAATTTGCTACAGTGCTTTCCCCTTCCTTGAGGAAACTCCTCGAGGGAAACCAGGATGTTTACCGGATGCGATTGTTTCTTCCTGTAACCGGATGCAAGAACGAAACCTTGTACTCAGTTTTTGCAATCCCTTAAGGACAAGTCATTTGGAGGGTATCCGCGAAGATTTCAGCGTTGATGCCGTCCTATAATTTGACCATTGTGGTAATCGTTTCAAGTGGTGCGGTATTTAACACCATTTTTTAGCGCAGTTCTATTCCTTACATGGAGCATACTTCACCAGCTATGAGCTAATCAAAATCACAGGAAAGAGAAACAATCGGAATTTAATGCACTACTCTGACAAGCTGGGTTCGTGTTATGTTGAGGTTTGTGTTCTTCCTGGAGTTCTTTTGGACGGCATTTCTACAAATGGCGCATTACCACCTGCTAAACTAGATCTTCTTGACTAGTTTTGCCACCGTGCTAGGAGTGTTTGGCATATTTCAGGTTATTTTTCCTGAATACGTGTTTCGAGTCAGAGTAAACCTCAGCCGATGAAACAGTCGCCTATTCACCTACTACGCTTCCGTGGAATAAGATTGGGAGCTGCATTGTCATAACCAAAATCTCTTAGTTTCAATGTAATTCGGCTTAAAGTCATTGGCATAGGACAATGTTCAACCACCGCTGAAGTCGGTCAACAGTGTGCACAGGTATGCGTTTTGGAGAGAAAATACGATCAATGCAGGTTTATGATTTGCGTGTAATATTACATGTAACGTCTTTTGAAAGTTCCTGATCGCGAAAACTGGGGCCAGAACCTTTGATTGTACTTTGGGTGCGGGATGCGTGACAGACACATTTCTGGCCTCCACTAGGAATAACTACTTGAATGAAACAATGAGAAGTATTGGGAGAAAAATCAGTTAATAATCCGAGAACAATTTCAGCTCCCGGAACGTTAGGAGACAATACACGTATAAGTAGGTTGAACGCAAACTGAGAGGGTGGCGAAGAGAACACCCAGTGCATTTACATGATAAACTATCCAGTCGTCTTCGGAACTGATGCACGTTTGACACAAAACTGATAATAGCTCGCGGGCCCCAAAATGACCGTAAATGTGTGCGATCTCCAGGAATGTGAGGCTTTGGTGGAATATAAGGACGCCCAAATTATTCAATTTAATTAATTTGAATTAGGAGGAGTTCATACTTCCGAGTTTGGAAGGTTACTTCATATTGACACATGACACTGATAGCTTGATCCAAACGCAGCTGGTGACGGACAAGCAATGGTAATATCATCTATATATGAGATAGCAATTGACAAACGCAGCTGCACACCAGACTTCAAAGAAAGTCTGATATAGATTGCCCGATATATGTAGAAGCCTGGAATGTTCTCACTTGAGTACTTTGGGGATGAAGAGGCTCTATTAAGCTTGCGCTAAAAATAAGCTGTCATTGTTGACCATCAGCTTCACGGAAAATTATTCATCCAAATCTCTCATAATGGTGCTAGTGACCAGATTATGTACAACAAATTTTCGCTCATTTTCGATTTACTAGTTACAATACACGAATTAGGGTACTACATTCGCCAACACAACCGCGCACTAACTGATAACAAAAAATTTGCAAGCTCAGTAGCTACCTGATGAGACACCAGAAACATCCACCAATTTGACTGTATTGATCTCAGAGAATCATACAGTTGGCAGTTAATTTCTGTTGATTGCACTTTTTGTGAAGGTTTCTCTGTTCCAACACTATGCCTGCTTCTCTTCGTCCTCACAGTGTAAGAAACCGCTTGCTTATGGTCATGGAGATGGGCAACACTGCTACAGCACCGTCGGGAATTTCAAACAGTTAACCACTGAGTTGTTTGCATAACATATGTTCGACCAGTATGACCTCTCGCCTTTTACTAATTAGCGGGTGTACTCGAAATCCATTTTTGAGACTCGTAAACGTATTTGAAACTTCGAAGCTTAGGTCTCTAAAATATCTAAAAAGTGAAAGACGCCCACTAGCTTTCACTTACCAGCAACTTGCTGTTTCTCAGCATTCAATGCCCGTAAATTATCCGTCTTTTCTAGCTCCAGAGCGCGCACACGTTTTGCCAAATTTTCCTTTGCTTCCTCAAGGTTGTCCCTTTCACCCTGCACTTCGGCAATAGTCCGGCGTAGATCGACTATTTCTTTCCTTAGGGTTTCTCGTACCGCGTCTGCATCGTGCAATCGTCGAGTGGTTTCGGACAGAGTGCGCTGCACGTTATCTCGAGCTTCGTCAAGCAGCCTGAGTTTCATTTGCAACTCTTCGTTATTTTTCAGCGCCTCTTCACACTGGCCATTAAGCCCGACGATTTTAGCTTGAAGCTCGCCTGTGGTCTGCTCATGGAAAGTACTGCAATAAGGAGATAATAATAAGGGATAAAAAGAGGCAAAAGGGATAAAATAAAGAAATAAAAAGGGATAAAAAGGTCAAGTCAAGTTCAAGCTTGGTTAGAAAAGTACAACGCAGCACAGCAGTCAACCTGACTTGAAAACATGATACCGAAATTGATTCCACACAGTCTGCTGTCAAAAAGTCTGAGATTGTCTTCCCCTATGAAGCATTTCACGTCACTCAGTAGGGAACCTCCGCAGTTGCAAATAGTTGCTTGTGTGACGGTGAGTGTACTTTAGCCCTTCAACGAACGAGTTTACAGATTCCCCGTCGTTCGGTCATGATTCAATGAAAGAATTGCACGATAAATCCAACTATGTAGTATCTGAACAAGTAGTTGTTTCACATCATGCCATGTTCAGGAAGAAAATTTCCTTTCGAAGTCACTTTGAAACTCTGAGGTACTCTGACAGACCACATTTCTTCATGTCATCGTATATGATATGCCCCACGGAAGAGCATTTTGCAGTACTGAAGCGTGACAAAACTCTTACAATTAGCAGCCCACATCTTAAAGTTACGGAAGAAATGTGAACTCAATTGGTTACACCATTTTCGATTTTTTCTGTGAAAAATGAATTGACGTCCTGTTTGAGGACAATCTGTGTTCTTCGAAGACTTTTTAATAAAGTGAAAGAGGTTGTCGGTGGGCAGTTTGATTCTACGGCGTGGCTTTACTCTATATCCATGTTTCCTTACAGTGTAATGCAATAGCTTTATCCATTAATTGACGGTCATCATTATCTTAAATGACTAGAGCCTTTCCACGAGACTTGACAGACAGCAGGTTTATCGACTGTAATTGTGACATAATGAACAACAAAAATCAGTTTGTGGCAGAATTCACCCAGAACGTACCAAGTCTCTTCGAAATGTCTGTGGAAATCCTTTAATTCTTGCGCCAGTTCGTTTCTAGCAGCTTCGTCCCTCTCTTGTCTGGCTTGTGCCTCCCGTTTGACCCGAGAGATTTCACCTTCCACAGATTTTTGTTGAGCTTGGGCCGCAGAAATCCTCTCACTGAATGCAGCACGTTCCTGCTCAAATCCTGAGAGCATAGCTTGCTTTTCGGCTTCGAAAGCCAATGCTGTCTCATCGTGTTCTCGCTGTAGTGTGGATATCTACGGGTCAAATGAAACCATGTGATGGCTCTCTGTGATATAACGACAGTAGAATCCATTTATAGCCATTTAGAACAACACGAAACATTTTGTTAGCGCTCCTTTTAAAAGAGTGCATGCATCTTTTTGGATGCACCACAGTTTGCCAGTGTTAATCTAACACCATCGAAGGATATGCCGGTTAACAACGGTGACAACTCTGGACAGCTCCGCATAAGCCCTCGGCAGTTTATGCCAAGCGTACTGATACGTTATGTTGAAGCGTCTGACAGATTGAAGAACATACATAGGCCATTTGATACCCGCGAGCTGGCCTATGGATATTTCACTTGGATATGTAAGCCTCATTCAGCAGTGACTTCAAACCCCAGTGCTACAATGCACTTGTCACAGGTAAGCAACATTTAAAATGCCCCCTGGGTAATCCATAACTTTGAGCCATCACGGTCAAAGTAGATAAACTAGTAAAATGCCCACAGCTGGATAAATGTCAATACTTTCATCATTTTCAGCTGTAATAACGGCGTACAGTGATTGTAGCTGCCACAGTTTCGTTCACAGATGATTCAGGGAGGTGGGGTAGGTAGCTGCGCATTGGAGGCGGGAGCTGATAAATTAGTGCATAAATACAGCACTGTAGGTGGACTGTTAAGTGGAGGGAATAGGAAGGGAGCTATGCATTGAAGGCAATAGCTTGGGTGCATGAGCGCAACTGAGGGCGCGACTGGGTCATGTCTGACAATGTCATTATTTTAGGACACAATTATTTAATTTTACTACAAATCGAAGCAAACGTGCCTCTGGCAGCTCAGTAATGCTTCCACATTGGTCGACGCTAGTAAACGGAGAGTTCGGTTCTATTCGGAAATGCGCAGCTGCAAGTTTCTACAGGTCCATGCACCGACGTTTGTTCTAGCGTTTATAACACTGGTGGTTAAGTGCTCCTTAGGCCGGTAAAGATGCATGTTCTTAAGTGAGCACCAAAGTGTTGAATGTTTATACGACTTGGAGCCTAAATAAGAGCATTTCTACCATACAGGGGTGCAACCCTAACAGCAAGGATTTACTCTCCATTAAGTGTGAGTTCCAGTTTTCACTTCATCATACATGAACTGAGTTCCTGTCGTTTGTCTTTTGTGCCTACACCTTACGAAGGATAGAAATCAAGTAAAATGATATTAGCCCTCTAAAAACCTTTTCGAACTCGAGAAATAACCTCACTCTGAACAGCCTTTAGCATGTAACCCGCAAACATCTGCACTGACCAGACAGCTTAGCAGTTTTGTGTTATGGCACATATTTCTTTTTTCAACAAATTTAACTTTTCCCTTAATCACTTATATAGCCCACGAAAACCGGCCCTAAAACTTTTTGTACTCATAAATAATCGTGTTGTTCCCTCTTTTCGCAGTAACGTTATAGCACCACTGCTTGAAGCCCCATCATCGATTGCTTGCAGCACTGGGAATGTTTGACGCAATAAAAACGCTATTTTGGTTTGCTCCAAGCCTGTGTTCAAAAATCTTCCTTTGAGTGCCTGCATCTAATGACCAAATATGCCCAACTTATTCGAATTGAGTAAACAAAATGCGAAGTTGTCATTAACTTTAAACATTATAAATGAAGAAACTAATGATACTAATGATTGGTTAGATCTGCCGGTCACCGGGTGCTTGTGCACAATAGATAGAACACAGGCGGTGGGGCTATTTCAAACCCATGGATTTCGATATAAACCTGGAGGAATAATATGGGCAAGCAAACACACAGAGGCCTGGTGGGAGCGATCATTTGGTCTAGGCACGATGGCATATAGATGTGCCATCTAAGCACCTTAAGCAAATTTTCCGTTCTGCAGTTCAGTTACTATCCATCTAAGTTCCGCCTTTAGGGTTTCCACCAGTCAAGATGCCCTGGGTCTGGTGAAGGAACCGCATTTTGGGTTTATGGATTGCTTTTAGCACTCTAAACAATTGTTCGGTACAGTGTCGGTCTACGCAGAGTTGTACCTCCTACTCCTTCATACTAACATTTATTTTTAAATCTGCACAGATGTTTCAGAAATTGACAATTACGCTGCAAAACTACTCTTGAGCTAATCAGCCAAAGCTTCAAGGAACTAGTAGAAGTATTCCTTTCAGAGGCCTTGTTTTCCGAAATGTGATTTATATAGAGGAGCAAACCATATCAGCATACCTAGGACCGGATATATTACTGAACAAAGCCGAAATCATTGTCTAACATCGTAGCTGTATCTTGTTGCGCACATTGGTTAGGATTGTCCCTAGCACACTTGTTCTTACTAGCTACCTTAAGCGTTGCATAATGCGTTTGTGCATATCGATTGCTAGGAAGCCACCCAAATTAATGGCTCGAAGTTAGCAACGGTTTAGTTCGGTACTGGCTAGCATGGTGGATCCTCATAGCTCATGTTGGTCACACGGTGCTAGGAATGAGTGCTTGTGAATCTCATGCATTACATCCTTTTCTGAACAGTCTTACTGCTTTCCAAAAGTGAGAGATCTGGTCTGTCTACTGTTTGTGTCGGAATTTGACTCCCGACTTCTGACTTGAGATACGAGTGCATGTCCACAAACCTGCATAGCCTGGACGACTAATGGATGGCGGCGGTGAATTGACTGGTTGAAAGAGGTAGCTTCAAGAAAAGAACTAAAATCTGTGATGGTGTGCAGAAATTCAGTTGGTAAATTGGACCGGAGTAAATGGATTTAGATAGACGGTTTTAAAGAGGAGCTTTCTTAACCCGTTTGTGGTTTCTCTTAGACGATGTTTCTGCTGCATTCATCCTTCATTCTTTCAATGTCCAAATCATTTTCAAGACTAGTAATTTATATGTTAGCTTGATTTACTTTGTGATGTTCCTCCAGAACACCAAAAGGTTCTGCAAAAATTTTAAAATGTTTTGCGGGAGGCAGGAGGATAAATATCACTTTTACGAAACAAGACATAATGGTTCACTCTAATGAGTCGTATAAAAACCATTCTTACCTAGTTATTTCACCAATGTTCACGCATTTGTGCCACTGGTGTTGTAATTAGCCTTTGAGTAGCAGGTTCTCGAAACTCCATTGATGTCGACCAAATCAACAGTCCCTTGACACTTATTCTGGTCCTCACTAAAAAGCGCCTTTGAAATCAGTCGCATTTCAGATAGTGCTAGTACCTGATCATTATCCCAGAGCATCATCTCCACCAGCAAACTACTTCAATCCTGTTGGTTGTCAACGATAATCGCTGACAAATTTTTATTCGAGAGTCTTGGATACCTTGAGATTGAGGGGGGCTTCTAACAAATGAACTAGCTATTATGTTGCCTATCTATCAGTCAGCCTGTCTATCTGGATATCTATTGTGTAAATACTTATATATGTGAAAAATTACACGGGTTTAAGCAATCAGGATGATGCATCAAGGGAAGATAAATGAGTAAAACGAGCAAAATTTACTAAAACCTTCCGTTCTCAAAAAAAATCAGCTTACCTCCACTGCATGTGCCTCTTTCTCACGCAGAAACTCCTTTTTCGCTTTTTGACACTCCTCTTTGTGCGAATCGGCCAGCTCTCGAAGTTGTTTGTCTGCCGCTTCTCTGACCTCGATTATCTGGTGTCTGAGTGCATTGGCCTCGTTTTCACCTGCTTCCCTAGCTGCTTGCAGAGCGACCTGTAACTCGTGCTCGCGGCGCTGGCACTTTTGCACAGTTTGTTCACGTGCTTGGGAGAGTCGTGCGAGGTCCTGTTCAGCATCAGCCTGAATGCGTTTGATTTCGCCTGGATACATGTAAGAGTAAGAATACGACAGGAATATAATGGCTTGTTTGTACAAAAACGACAAGCAGAACAGCTTGACGACCAAAGTTTGAGGCATATACTAACATCGTCAATGTTTCCATAACTCCTCCCATCAAACGTTAACTGTGTTCCAACAAATCAGTTTGCTTCAATTTGACATGCTAAGTATTCCGAAACTTTCAAGCATTTTTTCTAAGCATTGAATAAACTCATTTGTCTTTTATGGGGCTGGCACACCTGATGCGCAGACAAGCAAAAGCAGGGTTCCAAAATTAAACATGATAAATTACCATAGTGTGTATCAGAATGACAAGTTTCAGTCAGTTCGTTTCGACAATTTTTTTAAAAAAACGCCCAGTTTGTTTGGGGACATAGAGACCGCAGTAAGTTCGCCATTTCACGGAAAAACATTATCAGCCATCTTTTGGCTAACTGATTGAGGATTTGAATAAAAATAATTGACAATCTGAGGTCCTAGTTATTGTGGCAGTGAAACACGTGGAAAATGAACAAACTGGGTGCTGAAACCGACTGTGTTGAATAATTGTCTGAGGTTAACAGAACGAATAAGTAACGTTGCAATGAATCATGCATGTGAACTCATCCAACAAGCTAATCATTGATCAGAGGTAGTTAATTTCTGCCGTACCGATGATTCCATTAGTTAGTGTTCGCCATCCACTTGCATTCACTTTGGTGTTTGTGGTACGTGGAAAGCTGGTGATATAAAGGGGCATAGCGGAGTTCAACCCTGGCCTGCGATGACTCTTCTTCATGCATTTATGTATATACTGCACTCACACAATACTCACAAGAAGACAGGATAATATAGAGAATTGCGTTGAGTTTATGGGATTCTAGCTGTTTTAGGCTGTGTTAGGTCAAACATTTCTGAGCTGCATTCTTGATTCTTTTGTGACTTTCCCTGAAAAGTGTCAACAACAAATCAGTTTTTCCGCCGGATATCGCGAGTTTCCAGCTGGAATAAGAGGGGTTTCAGACAAAGGATGGAGAACATAGGGCATTCACATATCGTCTAACTAACTTAGATCAGGTCAGTCCAATTTTCCAACCGTAAACCTGAGTAGTGTTTGTGGTGACCGAAGCTCGTGGCAGACAATGACTCGCTTACCAGCCATTAATGATTTACATCGCAAACGGATCTAGAATGGTCAAAAGTTGGTTTAGTTGCTTCCTGTTAGACGACCATGTGGAAGCTCTTAAATTTTATGCAACCAGTCAGTTGTGGGCATCGTCCTCCAGAAAGAATAACCTTCAACCTCGAAGTGCCACCTTATTCCGCTTCGGTTTTCCCAAACGAGAGATACGCTGTACTTGTTACCTGCACACCTCTGAAAGTTATGTCCTTGAGTATCGTTATCCAAGTGGACTTTGAAGCAATTATATACTGGCATGTGGCGTGACGCATTCGTGAGCAGCTTTCACGAGCGCAAGACAAATTTAGCCTCTACTAGGGCTAGCTTCTATCTGAGAGTAGTTGACCTTCATACCCACCTTTCTGAAGGTAAATACTGTATATGTTGTACAGACAAACTTCATTTGAGAGCCACTACGGTAAATTAAATCAGTTTAACCGTAAGTGGCTACTTAGGTTGCCCATTATGAGTAGCGTTTACGTAGGCCATTGTAAGCGGGACAATTTGGAAGAGTCTTACGACAGCTTTGGCTAAGTGTGTTTAGCCTATCCCCCCAGTAATCTTGGAAGAAAAACTTGATGCACTTCATGAGATGAAGTTGCGTATGCACCAACATTCGCGCACCATATGGATTACTCGATTGCAGACATCCTCTGTGAGTCCCGTTTGCAAGTGATCCCTCGCCATTGGCTGCGGATCGCATGTTGCACCTATACTAATACCATAATGGCACAAATATTGTCGGAGGCTTCTAACAAATTTACAATGAACTTTCTGGCCTCATAGACACTACCAGAATGATCCTGAATCACTATCAGCAACTGTAGGGTTATCCGGATATGCCATATGCAGCACGGTGATCGTGTAGGTCCCATGAGGATAAATTAGCGAACTTCGGAGAAACGTAAAATGTTGATGGAATTTTCTCACTCAAAAGACTATCTTTTTTATGTGTTTGCGTGGAGCTCAGTCATCAGACAGGGGAAAAAGACTGACACGTTTTTACAAACAGAGCTTGTGGTTTTACTAAGCATTTTCCCAAAACAAGGATCATGTTGCATGGTACTATGATGCCGGTGGAGTTAACTGTCATTCACCGCAGAGGTACACAAGCATACCTCTGCCGAAAACAACTCCAGAACCAAGTCTGAGCAACATATGTGTGTACATTAGCAGCAAAATGAGTACTTTTTATGTATGGCCACAATGTTTACAGCATTATGACAACTCCTCATCACTCGGTCACCCGTCCATTTCACCTTACGGCAAATGTTCACAAGTGTGAATGCGAAAGTTGTCTCTTTATCTGATTACTAATGATTTCTTTGAATCAACACCTAGGCGGACCCAGTGTCAACAAACATTAAAGCAACGTTGTTGTCCCGTAGAGGAGTTTGAAAATTAACAGCAGTTGAGCACGGTGATCGCAGTCGTGCTGAACCTTTGGTTCTTCTAAAGAGGCTCATAAAGTCGCCTTTCAGAACAATGCTGGCCGGCTGGTGGTCTATTTTCTCAGTCGAATTGCTAGGCTCATGAAAAGAATAAGAACCTATTGGCGATTAAGTGCTAGTTCCATAAGTGGTGCGCAAGAAGACCGGAGAGTAAGCACTCGCGGAAACGGAAATTTTGCGTTCCACTGTTACCTGCTCGCTTGGAACCACTGAATTATAACTGGACTCCAGGATCTCAATATATTCACTGTGCCAAAGTTGCACCGTCTAAGAAGGTTCTCTTGGAGGATGGTGATATTCAGGTCATGAAGATAAGCAAGGTAGCCTATTTTCGTGAAATACACTCATTTGCAAATCAATTTAATTCTCACGAAAGACTTAACTGAATCTCTTGTTTATGATATTCTACAACTGAATGTGCTACACAAAGGCCGCCTCATGATTCAGTTGGTACGATATTCGAGATATCGCAGTATATTTTCATAAAGGAAACTACTCACAAGGTTGCTGAAAACTCTTCAACAGTTCACGACCGGTTTCGCCTTTCTTGAAGCCCATCAGGTAGGCGCAGTCCCCGAGTTTCCATCAACCTTATGATCCACAATAACCCAAATTGGACTAATTGCAAATCAATTTGGTTTGCACGAGAGACTCAAATGAATCTCTCGGTTATGACATTCTGTTGAGTCTCTCGTGAAAACCACATTTATTTGTAAATGAGTGTATTTCTCGCAAATAGTCCGATTTAGGTTCAAGTAAAACATAAGGTTGACAGGAAGTCGGGGACTGCGCCTACTTGATGAGCCCCAAGAAGGGTGAAACCGGTCGTGGGCTGTTTAAGAGTTCTCAGCAACCTTGTGAGTAGTTTCTTTTAGGTAGACTGTTCTCCTATCGTTAAAATTTTTCACGACTGGTTCTGAGCCACTGAAAGATTTCGCAAAAGTTTGGAACTCTGATTTGAGGACTGTCTGAAATAGTCACCGCTGCATAACAGTGGAAACTTATGGTCATAATTGGAATGGATACCTAGACTGAGGGTGACTTCAACTATCAAGCACACATTATGCACCTCAATTCTTTCGACCACAAATGATGTTACTCATTGTGACGGCAGTAATACGTCTTGTAATGCATGCGGCGCAGATGAGAAGCATATTCCGCGTTCATGACAATTTTGGTCGTGCCCAACAATAAAACTGGAAACCGTCCTCACTTCACGAACTTCCTGCTGTCCAGGTAACCTAAAGAGAAATTCTTTCCTATCGGTGATAGGAACCAATCATTTTCACATAACGTCTCAACCACGGACAACGCTGTTATTATTAGCGGAGTGACTGAATCTGGTTCATCTTAACCAATCAACGGATGTGTTGCTGGTACTTGTACAGTTTCAGTCGCACTGCACCTGAATCCGACTGCTTGCTGTTGGTTGTTTGATGTGAGGCTCCAAAAATCTCAACGGTGGATTTCCCTTACAATATCGCATAAACTCCAGTAATTTCCTTAAGACAAACTGTGCTACTTGGGCTGTCGGTACCGGAGGAGAGATGAAATATTACCTTCTGCTAAAACTGTTATTTCTCACTGTTCAAAAAAGCTTTGCGGAGATAAACTGGTTCAACAATCAGTACAGACAAACGTAGGTTTGGTACTATCAGTGTATTACATTTGGAACCAGGAATGTATAACTGAAAAGGACGTACCCAAAAGACTATCCCGCTTGGCAATAAGCTCCTGGTTTCCACTTTCCAGTAGCTCTTTTTGTGTCTCCAGTTGTTCAATCCGTTGTTTTGCCTGATAGCAATCAGTTTCAAGAGTTTGACATTCTTTCTTTACTGCGGCTAGATGATCACAGGTTTGCGAGTAAGTACGCTCTAGTCCTCGGAGCTGCGTAGTAAGGTCTCCTTTTTCACGGGTCAGTTCCTCTTTTTCATTGTTAACCTTGGCGATCACCTCACGCAAACGATCAATATCACGACATTTTTGAGCCAACTCACTCGTCAGGCCATTCTTGTGTCGAGTCACAGCGTTGAGCTGTTCGGAAAAATGGATTCAGAGTGTAAGGGGGACACGTGTCATTCACACAACTCGTGCCACCATTACTCCAAGAAAGAGTAGTTTTCAAATTTTGATTAAGCAATGTAAGATTTGCATTTACAGGGCGATTCTTGTATATCGTCCGTAGGAACAGCATGATCCCCCGCCAAATCAAGTATCCACAATCTCCTCGGGAAAAAATCTCACGTCGTCAAAGATATAAAGCAATCTCTAGAACTTTGGGCCGCTTTCCGCTCAATCGTTATGTCACAGTTCACTTTCTTTTTGTGACACGCCCGTAGTAGCACTGGACTTTACTCCACTAACCTTCCTAATGCTAGCACGCTGGTTTTTCACCGATGTTCTCTAATCAATTGCATCCTATGTGGATAAGCATATAGGAAATGAGGCAAATCAAAAACATAGTAGGATATGTTCCCCATACGAAATCATACAGTTGACGATATCTTATATACTCTCTTGCTGTCGTGCACTCTATGCTGCTGAGATCACAAATGATCTATCTTATACAAAATAATGCCGTTATGTGTTGTGCAGATAACCGAATGTTTTAGCAGGAAAGACTACCTGTCACTACTCGACCGTCCAATAACATTTTGGTAAGTTAGTTCAAGAGAATCGAGTTTTGTGTCTATAGGCTATCTAACATCAAACAAAATCATTTAAACGACTCTGAGGCACTGCCATTTCCGCCTTGCTTTCCCATGTTCAGCTAAGGCTTACAATGATGTTCTGCCTTATTTATTAAAAGTAGCCTCCTTTCTGGGATAGCCAACAGAAACACTGAAAATGAGACAACCGAAATGAATGCAGAATGAGTTCTTGATGTGATTTAAGTCTGAAGGTTCCAGTCACACACTGTAACTACTGCCATTTACTATAAGGCTGCAGGGTGTTTACCAAAGAGTTAGGTTGATTTTATTTCTGGAGGGTTCCGTGTGACGCGATCTGAAATTATGTACAACTATAAAACACAGATGAGATACTGCAACAATCTATCCTACTATTTAGTCAAGAGAAATAAAAAGTCAATGTAAAGATGAAGTGACTTACAGTTTTCTTGAACAGCTACAGATAGATGTGACTAGGGCCTATTTTAAGTGAGTTAATAGTACAACCACAGAAAGTAGTAAATTCGGTTGCTGGACAACGGAGATTCTACATTAGAACAGATGATTTTTTGGGGTACTTTCTGTTGATTTTAATGAGACCTTCACTGATTTGGAGATAACTTATGGTGGAATATTTTCGGTCAGTCAGACTCATTGCCCTTTCGTGAAGCTCATTGTATTCCGATGAGGTTATATGCCACAATCGATTAAAACCCACACTGATGTTTGCCTGAATTATACAAAATGGGCGAAGTGAAATTGAACGAGCTTACTTGTTCTGTTAGATCGATCTTCTCTCGATTCAGTACCGAAACTCCCTCTTCCAGTCGTTCTCTGGCGGCTTCGGATAATGTAAGGGATTGTGTGAGTCTGTTCTTTTCCGAAAGCAATTCATTCTTCAGCGATTCCAAATCGATTACACGATCTCGAAGCGAAATTCGTTCGGCTTCTACACTGCGAAGTTCTGCGTCCAGTTGGGTATGTTCGGCTTCCAAGCTGCGTAATTGGGCTTGCGCAGCTTGTCGCTTGCTCTGTATCTCTTCGATTCTGGCCTATACGGTATAAAATGATAAGGGGTTTAGATTTATTATCACAGTTAAGCCACAGACAGGTTCGCGGGTAGAGGTCGTACACCGACTGATCGTTGATCTTGTGAGGTCCCGAATGAAATACGACAAAAGCATGACATGCGACTCAATGTCTATCGCTCTAGTGAGACAATCATGCTTTTCCTGGAATAGAGCAGTACGATTAAATTTAACTGTGTAATGGGTATGTGCGCTTTTTGTGCCAACCGCGCATATCATAAAATGTCGGGCATTAGCGCTCAATCGCAGCTGTGCGGTCCTGTCATTGTGCACCAGTGCAGAAGCAGAACGAATTATCAGCACGCTACACTAGGAACGCTTGTAAGGGTATATCACCTGTCATCACATCAGGGATTGCTAAAAGGTGTTGAAAAGCAATCGCTTTCAGTTTTACTCACCTGCTGTTTACTGATTCTGTCTTGCATAAGTTCCTGTTCAGCGCGCAAATGTGCTAACTCCCCTTCAAGTTCCGCACGTTTCGCTTCACTCTTGCTAAATGCCTCCTGTAAGTCGGCGCGCTCTGTTGCTTTGATTTCCGCCTCCAGTCTGACACACTGCAAGCTTTCCCTCAGAGCTGAAGTCTCCTCTTTTGCAGCGGCCAGCCGCTCTTCTAGGCCTTCGATGCACCGTTGACGTCGCTCCGCCTCCTTTGCATTCTTTTCCGCATCCATACGCAAATCAGTGAGCTCTTCTTCCATTTTTTCTCTCTTCAATTGTAATTCTCTTTGAGCTTCTTTTGACTTTTCAAGTTCACTGCGTAAGCTGGTTGCCTGCTCCGTCGTTTGCTGTCGTATCTTTTCCAGTTCTGTTTTTTGGTTTGTCATCGCTTGAAGTTGCGCTTTACAACGCTGTAGCTCTTTTTCAGCTTCCACTCGTTCCTGTTTCTCGCTGTTAATATCAGTCTTCAGGCTAAGGAGCTGTTCCTCTAAACCAAGCTTTTCACCCTCACATACTTCCAGTCGTGCCCTCACAGCTTCATGCTGTTCCCTTAGGCTACCGAGTTTATTGCTAAGATCGGCCAGCTGAAATTAAAATGCACAGAGATTTTCCAATGAAAAACCTGTCCTCTCATTAATTAGCGAAGTCAGCTATCATCATCAATAAGGGGGTTGGGTGGGGAGAAGCAGCCAGTTGTCATAATTTGGACCAGTCTACGAATGGGGAAACACCACTTGTTACCGTCTGTTCGTTCAGGCGTTTCGAAACCCAGTTGCCACTCTGACGTAGTATTGTAAGTGCACCAAAACTCCCATGGCTAGAGGGTTAAATCAGCTGATCTTCACAGTTTGTCAGTCTTTTAGGTTTTCGTGTAGACTGTTTCTGAACCACGCTACATAATTGTGTTGCCGGTTCCGTTGGGGTGGTCAAACGACTTTCAAAGCCACTATTCTCATTAGAAATCCAGGCGACAGATTCATGTGGGTTATACCTGCTGCTTCTTTAGTAATAAGTGATGCTAGTGGTTTTTCTGCAATCACTATTGAGGTCGACTGTTCATTGTCCCATGTTGTGGGATTCGGATCATCATCGGGATCCGATGCCAAACTGGTCCAAAATCAAGACTACCATAAGAGAGAGAATCAGCTGGATTCAGTTGGATCTTCGATCAAAACCAAATTTCCACGTAAACAAGAAGAGTCGTCGAATTTCTTACAATCTGGGTTCATGTGGAACATTAGGTGGGGGTAACCTCGGGGACTGTACCTACCTGGTAAGCCACAAGAAGAGCGAAATCGGTCGTGGGCTGCCAAGAAGTCTCCAGTAACCTTATAAGTAGTGTATTACGTATAGAGTGAAACACCTCGGTCCAACAATTGCGGTGCTGTTGAGTCCAGCAAAGGACAGAACACTTTTTAACCCTTAGTTGTACCTAAACTTCATTCGTACTCCGGTTTCAAAATAACGATAAAAATACTCGTTCAGCTGCGTAGCTGCCATGTCACCAGAAGAACGCACGAGGACTGAGATACTGTAAGGTTCCTCAGTCCTAAACAGAAGCAGTTGATAAGCTGAGGTTGGGTTACAACCAAAGACCGTCCAGTCAGTAAGTCTGACCTGGTAAGCACAAGAAGAGCGAAATCGGTCGTGGGCTGCCAAGAAGTCTCCAGTAACCTTATAAGTAGTGTATTACGTATAGAGTGAAACACCTCGGTCCAACAATTGCGGTGCTGTTGAGTCCAGCAAAGGACAGAACACTTTTTAACCCTTAGTTGTACCTAAACTTCATTCGTACTCCGGTTTCAAAATAACGATAAAAATACTCGTTCAGCTGCGTAGCTGCCATGTCACCAGAAGAACGCACGAGGACTGAGATACTGTAAGGTTCCTCAGTCCTAAACAGAAGCAGTTGATAAGCTGAGGTTGGGTTACAACCAAAGACCGTCCAGTCAGTAAGTCTGGGCCTTAACCACTGAGATATCATGAGTTATCCGAGTTAATAGGAGCCGTTGATTGAATCGAGGTTCAATTGGGTGACTATTCAAATTAATAGCTTGCCTGGAAGCTAACCGTAAGAGCGCATACCAGAAGAAAAAAACCCTCGGTGTGTGTCATAGGTTCTAGGGATTTTTTCGAACTCGACTTCACGTGGGGTTTCACGTAAACAAATGTGAATAGGCCACATTCGTATACGTCAATTATTTTAAAACATTAGCTTGCCTTTTCAGAATAATGTACTGGTTGAGGTTTTTCGTCAGTCTGTAACGTTTTACCTCCACTGTGGTTGTTGAAAGGTTCTAAAACCATGATGCTAAACAATTTACTAGTTTGGTTGATGTGGGTGATATACGTTGAAAAATTGGTGGAAACCTTTAACTACACACAGTTTGCGGTAATCCCTTTTGATATACACATTATTCTTCAAACCGACTACCAGTAGAACCCATACAAAATGCCAGGTCGGCCAACCTCAATAAACCAAGCCAAAACGGTTGAGAACTGTTACCCCAGAAGGATGGGTGGGCTAAAATGTGCTCCGGGCCGATAGTTTTTTCTTGAACAAAGTATGGGGGAAAAATTCAAGTGCATTCTTTGTTCATGCTACTGAAAACAGCGAAATCTTTCCACAACTTTCACACCTGGGATCTGATAGGGTCTGCCGTATACAGGTTTCCACCGCAGAAAAGCTCGTCGTACAAACGTTGTATTACATTCGCATACACACAGATTGAATAGAGAGAGCCGTTTTTATCCCTGATTAATGCAGTCAGTCGTTATATTGTTGATACTGTTTGGAAGGGACAGAAATATATTGAGTTATTTAGTGAACATTTTAAGTTGAATCGACTGTCGAAAGCAGCTTTGCTTTTCAGCTACATGACAAAACGGTTACCTCGTGAGGGAAAAGGACTTCCTTCGGTAGAGATTTTTACCTCGATCGTGAAGTTTCTGGGATTTTTTGGCTCATTTTACAAGACGGGTTGTAGAAAAAAAAGCTTTGCCACAGGTATCCATAACGATTTACGGATGTCTGATTCCTATACTTTATTCTTCTCAATCCTCCTTAAAGTCACCAAAACGGAATTAGTTTAACCTCTTAACGTGAGGAAGTGTGCAGTCACGAATAGGTTGTAACAGTGGATTGTTCGTGGCAAACCTGAATGCGATGCCTCTAATTTTAGCAATGCTCCCCTTTGCAGCATTCACACCGCAGTAATCACGTTCTTGGAGGAAATTCATCAGCTTCCAATGCGTTGAAGGCTCATTCTTCCAATCTCAACCCAGGATATTTTTACAAAATATGATACTTCAAATAGGAACCTTTACTCCCGATTTCAGCATAAACTTTCCAGCACTATTACATCTGCTAAAAGTTGTGATTAGGGTCAGGTTATTGCCAAATGGACCACGCTAATTGCATACTTCAGTTATGACAGACCCATGCAGGTTTCATCCTATTTACCATAAAATTGGTTTCAGATAGGACTAGCGAGAACTACTAAAAAAGTTTGAAAGAACAGTAGTGCTGTGCAATGGAGAAGTCAGAAAAACTGCAGAATGCTTCGTTAGTGGTCTCGAGCTCAGTACACTACACGTACAAGGTGACTGGAAATTAACATAAAAAGGGATTTGGACAAACATAAACGTATCTGAGAAGTTCAGAACAATTGTGTATCCAATGCTAAGGTGATCAGATCACCTAACGGTCTGTCAGTGTATATGGTGTAAATATCCCAATATCAGCTCAAGCGATTAAAGAACAGAGAGGGATAAAAAACTCAGGCGCTCCCGTTACACAAGAAAACTGGACTCCTCTGCTTACTTTGGAGTAAAATAACAACATCTACTCTAGCCCTCCATTATGCTCATTCGTTTTCAATGCTAATAAAGTTAGTAAGCAGCTAATGAGATTCACAAAACTGTTAAGTACCGAATTCCAGGGGTTATTTTGAACGCGATCAAGAGAACAGCACGTAAGGCACAGAATGTATCTGTGCGATGTAATAGACAACAGTCATTTACAAAAAAGTGAAAAATTAGTGGCTTTTCTCACACCTACCACACTCCCCGTAGCAACCATTTTGGATTTTCTTTAGAAGTTCGCTGTGGTGGAGGAAAGCCTTAGTACCTCATATACAGGGGGTTCCCATGCAGTCAAAGCTCCACTTTTGTGTGGTTTGGCTACGCCAAGTTTACTAGGTGAGGAATATGTTCATTTCTGTTCTTAGCACAAAAAGTTACTGGTCACACAAACCTGCATCCCTCTTTTGTTCATGGCAGCCTGGATGGCGCTCAACGTTGAGTCACCCCAGTAGCAACCGCTTGTCACATTGACAGGAGGCGGAGGCGAACCTGTCCGTCCATATGCCCCTGCTCGAGAAATTCCACCGCACGGCTGCATTGCTGCCGGAACGGAGGCGTAGCAAGGTGACCGTGACCGTGAGCGGTGACAATCTCTACCAACCGCAGCATCATCATTCATCACGGATTGAGAAAGTTCACGAATAGCCTGTTGCATTGACTGTAGTTCTTCGACCAATGCACGTGAATTCGGGTCGATAATATCAGAGCCCTCTGTAGTGCGAATGACGGAGGTGAAGCCACGGTCAATAAGGATCAATTTTCTTAAAAAATGCATTTCAAAAAATAGAACTGTTGGTCTGAGCTTACTACAGATTTAACTGAATGTTGCCTTCGAAATGACAGGTTGTTAGGTCACTGCAATAAATTCTTGGGGTAAAAAGTGTCAACCGCATCCAACGTTTTTGTCATAGCATTTTAGGATTCTCGTAGAAAAATTTAACAGCCTACTGTCCATTGCTGAGATATGTTTACAAAGTGCAAGCCAGCAACCTTATCTAGCTCGTTGAAACACCTTTAGTAGAGGGGAATAATTTGTAAGTATTTTGCAAAATACTTGCTAGTAACTTGTTCGTCAAAATCAACTAGGCATCGCTTAATTAAACCGTTGTGAGAATCGAGAGACGTTAAATCAACTACTAACTACTTTCCACAGGCTTTTGGTGCTCAAACTACTTGTGGCACCAGTAGAGTGGCAGGTGGTCCCGTGGAATGTCGTAAAACCCCTTGATTGTGGACGCCTCAGTGAGACATTTCACGTTTCTCATGAGCTTACTGTTAGAACTGTCAGGACAAACTGGATAAGGGTTAATAAGCACCACTCTCAGATGTGCGATGCATATCTTTACTTCATACAAACCTCTCTCGTGTATTCTGAATATTGAATTTGCAATCTAACAACTTCAGGTTGTTTATCGACCAGTGCGACGTTATGTTTTGATGACAATTATGGCGATCGATTACGGATGTCACACTAACCGCGCATCACATCGATCCATCGTATCCCAAGCTGGCGTTTTCGGGTAGTTATATCGAAAAGCGTTTTTGTGAATGACCGTCAGCTATAACGCAATACTAGAGCTGTGTCTAACGTTCGTGCTTTTTTGCAGCCCAGAGCTGATTTACAGGGAAGGTTGGAGCCTAAATGACAAGCTCTCTTTCCCACTTTCTTAGATTCGTTGATTGGCACCGTGATAAAAGCAGCCACCACGCAATCACCAAAGGACACTAGAATTCAATAATTGCAATAAAATAAAAGGGCACAAACCCTCTCATTCCACGTATGTGGAAGATTCAGAGAAGTAAAAGCCGAAAGAGTTCATGCTTGCAAACTGGTAGAATGAAAACACATGTATGGTCAATATACGGGGCGCCGTAGATTGGTTACGCGTAGATCCGTGGCAGATGCACAACACGCTGCTGAGAGATGAAACAAATCTGCAAAACTGTGTAAGATAAAAGTCTGGTTACCGTTTGTTCTGGTGATTGTTCTTTGTTCACGAAGTCAGCACTGCAAACTTAGACAGCGAAGGCGGCAAATTTACGATGTGAAATCAGATCAACGCATTTCACGGTCATCAGCATGCTATCTAGAATATCGGTCATACAATACGTCACCAGCTGCTACGGCGCGAGCAACTTATCTATTTTTAACATCGGTCGCCAAGAACCGTTAAAATTCGTTAGGTTTGCTGTAAAATCCGGGGCAGAATGCCACGTTCCTTATAGCCGGTCTTCGCTAATATTCCATTCCGCAGACAAGATGTTTGATGCGAGATCAGTAGGGGATCTGTGCTGGTGACTTTTGGCAGCTGATACATGAGTAATGCCATAGACAAAACGACTGTGCTAAACAGCAAAGAGGATAGTAGAATCCACAGATCTGGTTCTAAAACGTGTCAGTTCAGGTACAGCATGAATACGAGCATTCCAGAAGTAATGGTAAGTTGTAGTGATCCAGTGGTCAACAGTCGATCACAGTGGTGGCCTCCGCGCAACAGTACATTAAATGAACTTACGACTCAAACAAAACGGTCTACAGAAATAACAGAGGACGTAGGAGGTCCATGAAAGCTGTCGGACTGTCAGATGAAACCTTTGAACACTTACTCATTGACGTAAACATACCGAACAGAAGAAGGGGTCGTAGGCGCCTACCGCGCAGCAAAACGCCGCAATTCCGAGGGTGTGCTCTAAGATGTACCGTCACACCTACAGTTTGCGCGAGCTGCACTGTAGTTGGTTACATATTCATAAGCTAATGAAGAGGAAATAACACGCGGAGTAGAAAGACCTAGATGTCCCAGGGAGAATGACCTGAAATACGTCCCCACCTAGTCTGTGGATCATAGTCAGGTAGGTAGCGGATTGAAATCCGTCCCGACCATTCACGCTCGGGTCCGGGCAACACGTACTCCTCCAACAGGGGGACATTCAGCCATAATGGCGGCCAACACAAAAGTGGTGCACAGACATACATGGAGTCGGTAGCGAGTACTACGAGACGTAAACAATCGGTTATCTGTCCGCCGCGTAAATCACCGACCGAAGTTCGTTTTGGGTGGAGTAAGGGAACAGCGACAGCAATGCAATATAAAACAGGAGAATTCGGACTACCTGGGAGTAGGCTAAAATGATGTAAAGTTTGAACGTTTTGATTCCTGTGAGGAATAAACTTTCGATATTTTAGTAATTAGTAAGTTGTGCACAGGTTTTAGAGGCGGAAGAGATCATTAAATTTATCCATATAACAGAACGGTGCCATTCCAGATTCCCTACGTTTTTCTCTAGGCTGAACAGACTAACGTTCGTCGGTAGTGTGAGGGGATCGGGTTTTTGTGGAGATTTCGTCCTGTAAGTGAAGTCAGTCTATGCTGAAAAGCCGAGAAGCACTGTACAGCTGTTTCATCCTCATTGTCCTGTTTAAGTGCGAGTTAATCACACTGCTGATCAGCCACTCGTCGCCGAACGGTTAAGTGTTCAAACTACTAGCCAGGAGGTCGCGGGTTCGAGACGCTCAAAAGTTTCGTGAGATGCGTACTGCTTATGATTCCCAATAAGGATGAAACAGCTGTACAGTGCTTGTAGGCTTTTTAGCATAGATTGGCTTCACTAACAGGAAAAAATCTCCGTAGAATAATGTCAGTTGTTTTTCAGTTTCAAGAACAGTTTCTACAAACATCAGTCTTCGTCCAGTTAAATTTTGGTGTAATTTTTGTCTGGGAACACCCCGCAAAACTGATAGTGGCCAACAACGTAAGTATCCTCAATTTTTCGGCTGTGCTATTATGCATTGCCAGAAAGACATTCGGATTGTTAAAGCAGGATAGAGAGTTCTATAGAAAACTTCACTGTTACTTTGCAAGTCTAACGTCTGTCTAACGGGCGAGTGATCTGGTCTCGCACGAGTACCAATCTGGACAATTCATAGGTCGTCGAAAAGCGAGGTAATCCTTCCGACTGACTGGGAAGTTATTGAATTCACTTCATACATCATTTCCAGGAAGCTAAGTTTAAATGTGTTGGTGGCTACTACTTGGTAGAATGACGTATGGTCACCTGTACAATCGAAGATCTCTAGTTTCCTAACTCGGACAAGACGGGGTTATCTGAGGGGTTCAGTAGTAAGCTTAGTTGAATCATATAACTGAAGCCCAGATTAAAACTAACTTTCTGAGAACTCACCCCTCTTGTTGCACAGACTTTGTCCTGTTCGTAGCCGTTGCAAACAAGCCAACGTTCGTTCTTTGTCAGCAAGCTGATGCTTAGTATCTTCCATCTCTGAAATTGCCTCGTTTAATCGTTTCGTTAATGATTTTATATCCTGATCCATTTGCTGCCGTGTTTTTTCGTGGGCTTGTTTGAGCTGATCCATTTGACGTTCGAGATTTTTCTTCTCATTACGCTCTGATTCTAGATAAGTCTGAATAAAAACATATAACACAACTTTGCCTTTCAGTTTGTTTCTCCACTATTGGAAAATTCCTATGCAATGTTGGGTTTTGAGATAACAAGAACGTTTTATATCACGCTTGGTACACTACTTTTAGTCGCTTCGGAAGCTTACCCCTGAGCATCCCGTTCTACGGAACAAGCAATTCCAACTTTATACACAGTATGGGTTTGTACAGAATCAAGAGGGTAGTGTGTTCTTCAACATAACAAGCGTAACAGTGGGTAATTAACTGGGACGCCACAACCCGCAACAGGATAGCTTCAGAGAAGCCGTTTATACGAATCACCAAAACCCATTAGCCCCGCGAAAATTCCTCAGCGTGAACCCCGATGTAAACTGAGCTAACTGGTCCCGATGATTATCAGGCCTTGTCCCACTGTCACGCAGACAGTGATTCTTGGATTAATTTCCTGTAGAAAATGGCCAGCAATGGCGATAAGCCGGGTCAAACTAGGGAATTCTTTGGCTTACTTAAGTTGGTTGGTAATACAGGATGTGCTTAAGCAAATAAAAACTCACCGATCGAACCAGTGATAGCTAAGTGGATAGGATATGACGACTGGCAGATAATTGAAACTCGCGAACTGGCTCTCTATTAGTGTAGCAGCTGATAAAAGTCAACGTCCGAACTTAAGTACCAAGGCTGGCTGTCAAGCTTTTGATCACTACGAGAGGGAGTGCTTCGTGTTCTCTGTGTTACTTAGTTTCAAAACAAACGTGATTTTAACTGAATAGCAAGTCAAATTCACTGCGTTTTAGTTGTGGCCATGGAATGAACGGCAGAGTAAAAATGGCTTGAAATAGAATAGAAGTACTGCTTGGCCCGACCCCGTTCGTGGATGTCGGTTTATAAGATATGGAGAAAATGGATTTTAGCAGTGTTCTGGGTGCACAACCGTTGGAAAATCGGTGGGAAAACCCCATCCGTGTTGCAGCAGCACGTTAGTCTGTTATTCTGACTTGGACACTACAGTGAAGAACATCTTTGTCGTTTGCGGTGTCCACCGTCTAAAAGTCATGAACTCGCCAATCAAGAACTTGATTCATAGAACTGGCCTTATCAGTGATTGAGCATTCACTCCAATGAGGTGGTGAACGAATGGCTTTGTAGATTACAGGCTGCGTCTCGCCCAATAGTAAAGGGGAATGAGAATGTGAAATTCCCACGCGCTGGCAACTGGCGTAAAATATATCATCTGACCACAGAAAGTAGAACTGAAATGGATAAAAACCTGGGAGAAGATTATTGCATGCATCGAGGTACCTGTTGCTGTGCTTCAGTATTCTTTACGTTTGCAGCAAAGTTCTCGAAAGCCGCTTGGCTGGCACGGGCAATTCGATTTACATCGGCCCGAGCCGAACTGATTTCACGTTCAACTTGTCCTTTAACATCGACGAATTGGCGACGACAGGCCACGACCGCGCGCCACAGTGTTAGAAGGCGTCCGTGCTCCGTTGTGAAGTATTCATTGAATGCCGCCTCCTCATCGCGCCATTCTGCCTCACGCCTTTCGAGAATCTCCTTGAACCTTGACGCCTCATCACGAATGCGCCGGTTTTCACAGGATAAATTTTGGTTTGCCTGAGTCGTCTGATCTAATTGTTCGCGTAGCATATTGTTCACACTGACCAGAGTTGAAGCCCTGTCACGAAAAACAGTAGAAAACATACTGATTTCAACTCTGTAACGTGGAACATCAGTCCATTGATTTGCAAGCTCCACAGACGATGAGGTATTTTTCACTCAGTACGGAATTAACGTTTGGCCTGTTTATAATAAATTCATCTTAAGCACTAGTAAGCATGCTTTCACGAAACATATACGCCTTGTCAAATGACAACTGGTCTGAGCCATTTTCAGACCTACCATTTAGTAATTGCTATTATTTTTGCCTTTTACTGCACCAGCTCACATTACTCTGATTTTGGGCCATCAACTACTGCACACCGTTTTCAGTTTCTCGAAATTGAGCCGTCTGTCTTGTTCGACGGATTTGTCGGTCGCAAGAAGTACCCGCCAATAAAACAGCGTAACATTTCTGGGAAGTATTATAGAGATGTTCGGTAAAAAACAACGTGTTGGACCATTAAATGAATGCAAGGCTGATCCTAAAATTTTCGTTTTCTGTAATTCGTCAAGCTCCTGGTTATCCAGTGTTTGAAAGATCTGCGTACCCCTGCACAGCCGCTGGTTGCCTCCATGGTCTTACGGGCAGCAGTAAGACCTGCTGATCTCGACGATATCGACTGTCCATTCAATTAATTCGGATGGCTCGGAAAAACAACTCCGGAAATTGAGCGCACAGCTTCTTTACCTCGTTTTCTCTCAAACTCTAAGCCCTCCTTGTCATCTGCATGTCTGTGCGTTTCCACTAACTTTCTAGCCGAATCAGTTTGGTACTCTTCAGCTTGATTTGAGTGAGTTTATGATTGGAGTTGATATCTTTTGACACGCATAATAAAACAACACATATATTATTGTTAAGCCTAGCTTTCATACCACCCGAAGGAAGCACTAGGGTTGAGATATTGACTGGTTACCCGGGCGTAGTCAAGAGCAGCCGGAATGACGGTGTTGTGTTTGAACCATTGGTCTTAACCGTTCGGATGATGCTAACACTCCTTCATGTGGTTGCTTCTTATAGCTGATCTCAAGAATGTCTAGAGTAAGTCCTGGTAGTTTGTGGCTTTGTCCTCCATACCCCCCCCCTTTTGTGTCCAACATTAGGTCAAGATTCTTCATAGTTCAAAGACCAGAGTGTGGATCGACAGTCACCTCTTTGCGTATCTCTCCTTCAGACCTGCATTCTCATTTGACTGATGGATAACTGTCATTTAGTACACGTCCATTTACAACCTTCAGCAAGATTATCCAAGTGGTGAGAGCGTGAATTTACCGATCGGAAGGTCCGTGGTTCTGCCTCTCGACTTCTCCTGTCTAGGCTTGGGTAACCTGGCAGTATCCCAGCCCTCGTCTTCAGGTGAATGGCAGCTAGGCCCCCGAAGAGTGTTACAACTGAATACGAACACGACAACATTCAGCTTCTGCCAATACCGAACACCAGGATGCGTGACTTGGCTATTTTGACGCACCTTGCAAAGATTAGCTGTCACTCTATTGACAGGTGTTCCTCATCATAGGTCTTTGACATCATCAGTGAATATTAAACAAATTTTGGTTGCATAATGGACATTGCAGACAGATTTTGAAGGAAAACACTTGGCTGTGATCTGTTGAATGGATCTGATGCAAACCGTTTGCACTACTGATGGTTTCTCAGGGAGACATAATCCCAGGGTGAATTCAAATAATTAAAAAATAGGTATGTAGAAAGTGAGCGTGTAAATATCCTTCCTATCAGCCTAAAAAACAACCCTACGATTGGTATTCAGAGGATAATTATGAAGCTGAATCATACAGAGAAGAAGTTTTTGTTTTCATAAAGGAAACTACTCACAAGGTTGCTGAAAACTCTTCGGCAGCCTACGACCGGTTTCGCCCTTCTTGGGGCTCATCAGGTAGGCGCAGTCCCCGAGTTTCCGTCAACCTTATAATCTACTTGAACCCAAATTGCACTGTTCTCGAGAAATACACTAATTTGCAAATCAATTTGGTTTTCACGGGAGACTCAATTGAATCTCTCATTATGATGTCCTCCAGCTGAATGTGTTGCACACAGGCTGCCTCATGATTCAGTTGGCACGATATTCGAGATATCGCAGTATATTTTCATAAAGGAAACCAAATTGATTTGCAAATTAGTGTATTTTTCGAGAAGTTTTTGTTTTGTTCCGCCAGTCACCTGCTGGAATTTTACCTTTGTTGCTCTTCGTCTAGCCGTTGCAACGTTGCTTCGTACTCAGCCGTGTTCTCTTCCATCCCGGCCTGAAACGAGGAAATTCATTAGAGAATTTAGGCATTCAAGGATAATGAGCGAGTATATTCACACAACAATTGTAATACTTATTTCATTCGAACCTAATCAGCTCCCCGCTGGTTTTTGTCGACCTCAGGGACGGTCGGGGTTGCAGGTTAGATGGCTGACATAGGCGGTTAACCCGATTGTTTCATTATCGCTATGGTTGCATAAACTGTAGTTGGTATCACAAAGAGGCTTGATTGTTCAGTCCTTTCACCGGGTAGCAGCCAACAGTGATTTTCTGAGAATCGTAATGCGGGTGTGCACCTGATGATACCCTGTCATTCACGCTTTTCGGTGTACGGATGTCGGATATACCTCCCATGGAGTTCATTATCAGGCGCTGTTTATAAATAGAACTATGGAAACAGAACTAATAATTAACACAGTTTCTGTTCGGACCAAATAGAGAGAGAGATAGCATTTGGGGACGCAGCCTCGAGGCTTGCACGGGAAATAGTCCAGCTTTAACTAGGGTCGATTTGGTAGAGTGGATGAGTTTTTCAACATAAATTTTTGTAATTCCTGTTCGTTTAACTATGGTGGGCAATGATAGATTACAAGTCCTGTATGATGGGTTTGGAGGTAATATCCTGACAAAATGCTCTCCAGTATGCTTTGATAATCCTGTTTGCTAGTTTAACAAGCACGCTCATATCATTTTACTAAGATCTGCGCTTGAAACCTTGCCAAGAAATCACCACGATTTATTAGAATAACGAAACAATTATATGTGGATGCAAGATCGGTTTTAAAGTTTCAGCAAGTAAATGCTAATGACGGCGAAGTGTTTAAAGCAGAAGTTAGCAAGGAAGAATAAATTTTTCGGATAAATCTTGTCGCATTCACGAAGAAACGTTTTCTAAAAGAGGTGCTTTTTGGAAGAGGACATGCTTATACGGACAGAATCTCATTTTCTGTAAGCAGCCAACCCCGCTCAGAAATTTATTGTTGTTGCATGGTTCACACGATAAAATAATTTGTTTTTCGTCTAGATTTTTTCGCGATGCATTTCGCGTGGTTCGGCTTTGACAATATTTGTTGGACTTCACTGTTCCTATCTGCCTTTCTGTTCAGCGCGAGTAATGTTTAAAGACGTTAAAACGGTCCTACCAGCAAAAGATTCTGCAGATGGGGAAGTGAAAGTAAACTGGTTGATTACAACGATAGCCAACAGCCGATAACTCTTTGGTCCTCAATTCCTCAGACAATAATAACCAATATGTTCAGTGTATTCGGTCATTTTCAGCTATGGCTTACATCGGTCAAACAAAGTTATGAGAGTTTGACGTCAAAAAAAGCAAAAATGAACAGATTTTAAGTTGACTTTCGCAGCGTCAGCAAAACCTGGGCGCATACCACCATACAAACTGAAGAGTGCTGTAGTATTCCGTCTTAATGTATTCTGAAGGTGAGGGTTTTGGTATGTTTTATAAGGTACTTCTCAGTCAGAAGCACATTCCAATTTTTGACTGAAGCCATATTTTCTCAGCCCAACTGTTCTGCAGCTATCGTTGAGAGACAGTTCCTAATTTCGTGAGCAGCTGAAGGCACATTTCGCTCAATTTTGAACAAAAACTTCCAATGCCAGTAATATTTGGTCTTCTCAGTTCAACGGCGCTAAAAGGGATATCTATGATTAATGTGCACAAGTCGTACGCCGAGTCCACCAATGATTCACACTCATATCTGCTGGTTGTCCAAATTGGTAAAACAATCATTCTATATCTTAGTCGTCGATTAACTTGGTGCGATTTAATAAAGTTCATTTAAAGAAAGTTTGCAGTTGAGAGACTTGATTTTTGTATCTTGTTTAGTTGTTTCATTAAAAGGTGACTCACATCGTCCATTCCAGAGAATGTCCCATACATTACGAACTAGTCCCAAAAAGTTGCTTCTTTCCAGAGTAATCAGTATTTCAATGGTTTGCTTCTTTGGGTATCACTAAACTTTTTTCGCAGAATTTTTATGGTAAGGTCCTTACTTCTATAGCATGAGATTGTCCTGGTAAACTTCAGGGAGTCTACCTCCTCTAGATAAATTGGGCTTCCTTGTCAGATAGCCCTTTGTGTAGGGAAGATTTTTGGAGGACTTTCTGTATAGTCTCACACAACCGGACGCCTGGGAATACAAAAATCTCATTATATTTACAAAATTTTTGAGGTGGACAAGCTTGCTAGGGTGAATGAGTAAAATGCACCTCGAAAATTGAAAAATACTAAAAGTGTGGACCGTTTGTGCCTATGGCGCTGTTCTATAACCTGAGGGAGTGTGCAGATTTGGTTGATGCAACCCTTATTACATCGATATTTTGCTTGCCGCTCTTTACTCGGTGTTTTCCGAGATACCATATAGAGATGAAAGAAAAAGAGTCGCCCACTTTCTCGTTAAGGCTGGGGTTAATCTGATCCACCTGTGATTACTGAACTCACTACCAGCGCGTTTTTTAGATCGCACTAATATGGATTCCCCGCATTTTTCTGGGACAATCTCCTTTCCCCAGATGGACCTAGATTGATCAAATAAGCGCTGAATGAGATTTTTAATCCTGTCGCTGAACAATGTGGGTTGAAGGTCAGTTAATTTTGAGAGAACATTTGTTGTCATAAAACTCTGAAGACGTCGGGGTTTCCATGTCCATCATCCAGTGTTCTACTGCATTCCGGGAATCCAAACGAGTGGCATAGATCGCCGTGAGAATTCTTGTTCCAGGTTCTGGACACAGCGGCGGATGCATCATCTTGTGTTAAAGATTGTTGTGACAATTTGGTGCTTGGTGGTTCCACGCAGAGGCGGTCTCGGGGATCTGGTGTCACAGGTCACCGAAAGTACTCTGACACTGCCGGCATTCCGCGCCTCTTTCAATCCCTCAACTAGTACTTGGTCAGATGTGCAGTACCCCGTCACTGTGACAACCGATTACCTCCTGCTCTTCGGGATGGTTCCCAGGACTAAATACAGTCCAACAGGTGCAAAATTGAGTCTTACCAGCTTTTCACTTAGTGTGAATCTGAATACTGCTGACTAGTCAGACTGGTTTGCCCGGCTGACTGACACTGATTAGGAAGGACCTGAAGATAAACCCTTTAAGGATGGGCGTTTGTGTACCTTTGACCACATTTTTGTTTGTGGCCATTGGATGGGTGCACGGAGGGTAACATCAGTGACTCTACTGTTAGCAGTTTCGTGCAGTCAGACACAGAAATATTTGCCAACAAACACCAGCTGGAAAGGGTTAAGATGCCTTTGAGTTCAAGTGATATGTCATTTTACATGCCTTCAACTAGGTGAAATGAAAATTATGGACACTGAATTGAGCGTACAGGTTTTCGTCGATTTTCAGACTCAAAACAGTGGCCCTAATCAATGTTATTTTTATGAGAGTGAGACTTTTTCGAAAGGATAGGTGTGAGCAGAGCTGTTCATACAATAAATCCTAATTGCGGATATTCTGTCTTCTGGGTGGAATATATTACAGGGTATCTTTAGGTTATTCTCTTTTGCATGTTGGACACATGGATGATGCCATCGATTCCAGCGGAGAAGAACGGTCATCGGAAAGAGAGCCGCAATTTTCAGTTTTCCTAAAGGCTGGTCGAATTAAAACATTGAACAACTGGAGCTCTAAATTCACTTATTTGTAGTTGCTAATATACCGAGAGTCCTGCTTTTAAGTTTTTTAAAACTTTTTGGACGTAGCCGCATTCGAGTGCGATATCATATCAGGTATTCAGTATCACTCGACATAATATGCTTGAAAGTTTGAAGCACAGGGACGCTCATAGATGCTCCAAAAAGTTTCGATTCGGGAGCCATCGATCAGTAAATAATCGGATACCTGTAAGTAGGTGACGTTTTGGTCAGAACACCACTCTTTACTCGACAACAACAGATGCTTATTCTCAGGGATTGAGTTTTAGGTACGGAAAAACGAACTTTTCCTCGGATCTGAATGGTTTCTTGCTTTTAAAAAACTCCATATATATATATATATATATATATATATATATATATATATATATATATATATATATATATATATATATATATATATATATATATATATATATATATATATATATATATATATATATATATATATATATATATATATATATATATATATATATATATATATATATATATATATATATATATATATATATATATATATATATATATATATATATATATATATATATATATATATATATATATATATATATATATATATATATATATATATATATATATATATATATATATATATATATATATATATATATATATATATATATATATATATATATATATATATATATATATATATATATATATATATATATATATATATATATATATATATATATATATATATATAGTAGCCCATAAATTACATCACTTAAAAATCAACCGTTCTTCTTCAAACCAGGTCATTAGGTTGGAGACAAGCCCAGTTCAGCGAACCAACCAACGACCATCTATGCTACCTGAGCTAATAACATTCTCCTCTGTAGCAAACCAGTATTGATTTACTAACAAACCTATATAACTAATGAAAACCGCGACACTATCTGTATTCTGCCACACGTTTATTGGAGCTGAGTCAGAAATACTACCCCAGAAGCAATCGTCTATTTTTTAAAGTGCAATGTTGAAGTGTCCCGACTCAAACATTTGCATTGTTCTAAAGTGCAGAAATGCTAAAGTATAACTTCATTTGTCTTCGCCACCGGCCCACACCCTAAGACCAGCTGTAACCTACCCACACAAAACGCCGTGTGTTATCGGAAACGTAAATATAAGTCAGCAGACTTATTTCTGAGTAGCCCTTCTGATCATCGGGGAAAAATGAAAAAATTGGAGTAAGTATATCTTGCATATCACTGCATCCGTTTGTATATTTGGCGTGCACAACAACATAATCCTTACGACCGAATAGCTTCGGCGGATTGCAACTTATTTATTCTACTTTTCTTTTTAGAAAAGTAACTAATATAGCCGTATGGTGTGATTCTTAACCGCTGTATTCAAATTTTTGTCTGTTTTGGTAGTACTGCAAATTACTGCAAGGTTTTCTGTTTCCTAGGAAGTTCACGACTCAGGTGTCCAACACTATGAACCTAAGCGGTTCATACGGAAAAGCGCTACATGGTGCAACGGTATAATGCAAGTCAATTGGTTTCTAAAAACGCAGTGTTTTTGTCATCATGCTAAAATTAAATAAGGACCAATGATCATGATCGGCTAGTACGAAGACTAATTGTTACGCGGTGACGAAAATATTGATGCTTGTCGAGCAATAGTATGGTGTCTTGCACGGTTTCACTTTCCCTTTCAGCTGTATCACTTCACTGGGTATCCCAAATGTAGAGAGCTCCAAAAAGTAGCTTTTTGCAACCAAGTTACACCCAGTGAAGATAGGATTATTAATACGGTACACTAGTGTATCAGCTGGGTTTATGATATAAACCATTTGGAGTGATCGTTACCTAATAGTCAATGGCGGTGGGGTTGTTATTTACTTTGTAGTGTCGAAGAATGTTGGTGCTTTGGGTCACACAGATATTCATACTTTGGCTAACAACGAACTTCTCTTATAGATAAATGTGAAGCCTGAAATTTCAAATTAAATCTCTGGTCCACCAATCATCTGGAACAAAATAAAGTCAGACAGTTATATGGATAGACCGGTTCGTTTCTGTCAACGACTTGATTCGATTAGTCAGCGGCAACGCAACTACTTTTTAAAACACAGATGGGTTTCTAGTGTGAACTCTTCTCAGCAAGGTTGTCACTAGATTGTCATCTTCCACGAAGCCCTATCTACATTCTTCATAAAAACGCGAAATAAATTCCGGGCTTATTTTACCTGATTTGGCATTGGTTAACTTTGGGACAGATGTAATGTTTCTGCAAAATCCCAGTCTCTGATCAGACTAAGTTGGGTTTTGTCCCAAATATCTCTTTCATCCCCGATTTCCGTATCCAAGTGCGGGTGGAAGATCGAGAAATGGTGGTATGACCAGTCACACAGTAGAATGACCTTTTGCTCGGGCTTACAGGTAAACAAAAGTGGATGCGCCGGCGCAGAGCAACGGCATAAGTATGATACAATACATGTCTGCATCTTGCTTAATCTGCTTGGTCATGAAACCTGATCTCATGGTTTGATGCATGAGTGGCTGGGGTTACGGGAGCTTCACAGTTCGTACGAGTCCGCCATTGAGTTATTGTGGTGTTGAAGTGTGGGAAAAAGAAAGCAACTATGTTTTGCTGTCGGTCAACATACAGAGCCCGTTTCTTTTGTTACCAAATCATTACTATCTCATACAACATTTCAAGATCAGACGGATACTCAGAGAGATTGGACAGCTACGGAAACGCGGTCAAAAGAAATTCCAGAGAAACTCAAAAAATAATAGGCTGGAGCAAAGTTTTAACAAAAGTGGAGTAATTTCACTTAAATCTAACGTAGGAAATTCACGCTGTTGGAGTCCAAGTAAAACTTACTTTTCTAGTTTGGTTTTCCGCTTCGGCCAGCTGCAATTTCAACTCAAGCGTGCGACACTTCTCTTTGTATTGGATGACCTTTGAGAATAGGACAACCGTGAATAGTGGTTATTCCAATAAGTTAAACAGACAGACTAAATACCGAGTAAAATGAAATTGCTTCTAGAGTGCATCAGGGAACACAACTACTTTTAAGTGGCCAGCGTGGCATTCTCAACATTCAGCGTCAAGATTGACGATAGCACAGGAGCAGCTGATTTTCCGTTTAATTTGCCTGGGATTTAATACGTTTTCGTCGAAATCCCTTTTTATGAGGATCTTGTTGGTACATAAGGTTATATTGATGAGCTAAACGTTTACTGCCACCCGTACCCACCCAGGAGCGCAGGGGAGAAACTGTAATTATGTTGTTTTGATGTGCATGACGCATTTTCAAAAGAATTACTGACAAATGGTTCCCTGAACGTAAACCATACCAGATGTTGCCAACAATGTACATCATAGTCCACTGATTGTGAATTAAGCATGATGGTCTAACGCAGTTATTTGGGAAGAAGTGAGCCCAAACCTCCTCCTGATCGAGATCAGCAACCTGTGACTGTTTTATGTCCTACAAATGCTAGCCAACATGACCATTCATAGCCTTGTAGAGCGGACCTGATCGGCGGACCTTTCGATCCACAATGTGGGAATAATACAGAATATACAGTTGTTGGCAGCGACAAACACCTCCAAGTCTGTGAGCTTAGTGAATACCGAACACGGCTTTGGCAGGAAGAAGCGCGTTAAAACCGATGAGGTTCACAATCCACAAAATACTAGTGCAAAACATCTGGTGTGCCCCTGGACCAGTAATAGGTAAGAACACTACAGTTTGTGAAAACTCTAGCTCCTCATGAATTTTCTTCTTCTTAAGCATTCTTGACCATTAGAAAAAAGCAGTAAACCCACGCACACTCAGGATGTTTCAATCACGAAGACAGCTGGAAACACGAATGTGGAATTTCGTTCTTAATAAAATGAGAAAAGGAAGGTTCTATCGCCAAACTCTATGATAATTAAACTAAGCCACAACAACTGAGTGCAGCAGGTTGCAGCCATTTTTCTTGAAACCTTTTTATTCCAGTGTCAAAATGCATTTCCGCGTGCTCTCATAGATAAAAAAACAAAGCTACACTGCTATCTTACTTTTGCCTGTAAGCGTTGAACCAGATCGGATTGCTTTTGCTGACCCTCCTGATAAGAAGCAAGCTTCTGTTTGTACACCGCAAGTTCATCATCTAATCTGCGCCGATAATCACGCTGATCTGATGACCATGTAGCCGTCGGAGGATTGGGGGCGGTGGCTGCGGCGACAGAATCCTCTTCACCCGACTCGCCGTATTCCTACAGAACAGGTTAGGCATGTTTGCTAAAATTACCAACAGCTATCTACTAACTACAAAAGTACATTTACTCAAACAATATCCGGGTATTCGATCAGTGAACTAGAGTTTTCATTAGGAATAAAAGTGAGTTCACAGCTGGGCTATTTTGTGTAGTGAATTTTTCGCACCTTATGTCAGCTGTGATTCAGTGTATACTGAGCCATCTGCGCTAAGCATGCTTACGCAGTGTCGAGGAACGTTTAAATAACAATTTAGTGGAAATATTCTATTAGTTCTTAAAATGAAAATTCAAAAGACATCCGGAGGACAGACTGTCCGCTTACCGAACAGGCGCCATCTCGACTTAGCTACCGATGACGCTCGGTTTCCGTCACGCGCGTCACCGGAACCTCAAAGCTGATTTGCCACGCCTCTTCCTAGTGAATTAGCAGTCACTGCCTGTCGGCCTCATAAGTAGGCTGCCTTTTTGACTTCCAAAATATGGCTGATGTTGATACGCAAGTCCAGGTACCAGAGGGGCTTTGGTGTGAATAGTTATCAAGTAGAACTATATATGGTATATCTTGGAACGAACAGCCCAGATAGATGTGGAAGAAGCGAGAGAGCATGCCTTCGGACGGAATTCCCACTTCAAAATTTACCAAATCCACTTCTTCTTTTAACAAGCCTTCGTAAATAAGTTATCGGAGTGCTACGACTAAAGCATCAATGACGTGTAACCGGGATAGGCTTGGATTGTGTGGAGAGTAGCTAGCAAAGCGAAGGACTTGCTCTTAAGATGCTTTGTGATGCTTGACAACCTCGGGACATGTTTCTAAGGGAGACTGCGAATACAAAACATTGTGGTTCGTATCAAAAAAGCAAGATTGCCACTGGCAGTGTGAACTTCTTGGACATTGTCTTGCGACTGGACATTAAAAGAGGCTCAAAAGGGGGTCTCTCCATGGGGTGCTTCCATATCGTGAGAAAAATAATAAGTCCGAAACGTACATAAAGCAAACTTTCGGGTAACGACACGCTGCGAGCTATTAACAAGACAGAGGGATGTGCCACAAGAGTGTGAAAGATAGAAACTGCACTAGAAACTTGGACTATTGGTTCATTTACCGGCAAGGACATGTCATGAAATTGAACTCCATCAGGTTACAGTGCTCCAAAGAGTGTGAAGGACCAACAGCCAACAGTTGAAAACTAAGATAAGAATACAAATCCCATCGTACGACAGATTCGTCTAGCGTTGGTCAACAGTCTACTGTCTCTTTTTCTACCTCAAAAATTTTTGAGCACTTTTTATTAGTTTTGAATATTTTTTCAAGTATTTGGAAGATCACGAAAACAAGACCTTATCTTCTTCAAAGTAAAAGAAACTACGGCAGTCCTCTTCTGCCGGCTAGCTGACCCGGAGGTACTGACCAGGTACTGAGTGGTCACGTGCACGAGCAGCTCCATCATCAAAGCTTGTCTCAAAGGAGCGGGGTAAAGTAAGACGTAAGTAAATGTCGTTACCTCAGAAGGACGCACCAGCATTTCGACCGACTGAACACTTGAAAAAACGGGTCAAACGAAATGGCAGAACTTTTCTTAGCCGCATCAAGTTCATAGTGGAATCAAGCGTGGGCTCCAAAACACCACAGATGAAAAGTATGAGGATGTTGAGGACAATGATGAAGAGAGCCATTATGACGATGATAACGGCTATGACGACGTTGATAACAATAACGAAGATTGTGATGGTGGTGGTCGTGACGTTCAATAATGCACTCGAACACTTGCTGATCACTTTTCTGCTCTGACCACTTTTCCGATTTCTACTGCTGATGGTACTTTATTTTTCGATGGTCTCCTTGGAGGAGAACAAATTCAAATGAATTTGCTTTCAATGGTATATAGTTATGTCCACGTTGAACTTGACATAACTAACTGAAGTCAGAGGTAGAAATGTGTCCACATTTATGTTTGGATATGTTAACATGCTTGAGGACCGCACTGTATGTGGAAACCAATTGACGAATAATGAAATGAATCTGGGATGTGAAATTCCGTCAGGTATACTGTAATTGGTCTTGAGTGACTGCTTGACAAGCTTTCATTATTTGAAAAACTGCATATGTACGCATCTCAAGACTTCAAAAAGTTCGGTAACTTTACTAAACGTTGGTGTATTCAAGTGAGGGAGGTCGATCACACGTCCATTCAGAAGTTCACCTAGTAGCCTTCTTAAGAATTGCTTATGGTTCTTGAACTCTAACTTTTCGGGTCGCAGGCTGGTGGTTATGCATGACTGCTCATCCTTGAAAGTCAGTCGATACCTGAATTGAAAACGGAGCTATAAAAAGGAGACCGAATAGCTTTCCGCTTTGGCATTATTCACGTCTCATTGAAAGGGATCCGTATGCAGTGGTTGTAGCTGCAAGTTTTCTGGCACGAATCGGGTCGGGCTGCATCAACAAGACAATGTCTGTCGAAAAAATACGTAGGTATTAGCGTACCCTTTGACTCTGTCCCTAAGGTCGTCAAAGAGATTTAGGAATCCATGGGTGAAACCCACATTCTTTGGAAATCCTCCTGGTTCAATATTTATCCATAAACTGATATGGTTATCCTCTCCAGTGGTAATGGATTCCGTGGAAAGCGTTGAAAATGGTGTTCAATGGCGGTTTACTAGATTCATAGGAGATTTGTTTAAATCTGAATTTTAATTATCCATCCAGAAGAATCTATCAATACACCGCAGAAGCCTCGACAAGATGTTCATGGTCAAACTAAAAGGGCGATAAAATAGTATTCCTTTTGATTCACTATCTTCGAAGTATCTAGATATCATCAGGCAGATATCACCAGGCAGACCAGCTGGCAGTAGAGCAAAGAAAATTCTCGTGGTTTTGTATATCTCATGCTATCTGCTCTGTGGCCAGGCCAAATGCAATCGATCACTTGCGGTTTGGTCGTATACAAGCAATCAAAAACTATATCTCGTATGACGCCTCCCTTTGATTCTTGAATTTTGGATGGACAGCACTAACTGAAGATGGAGTAGAATAAGAGGGGTTTTGTGGGCTTAATAGTATTTATTGCAGCTGACACGGTTGCATAATGCCTCAGCTACAATATCCAGGCTACAGAAGGCAGCCCACAGTTTTTCTCAAGGTCACACTCGGGGTGGAGTTTAACGCGGCCAAAGTGAACTTAAGTCCCTAACAGTGAAGTCGAAACGTGCAGCACGTAAACTTACATCAACACCCTTGTTCGACCTTCCTGACATCGTTATTTCACTCATGAGATGATGTTGGTTTATCGCATGAAAACTCAATTTTCTGTTAAATACATCCACCAAGTGTTACGTGCTCCGACAGTGCGGGTTACTGCAGTCGATATAAAAGCAGATTTATTTACTTCGAAGCATTCTGTTGCCACAGGAAACGACGTGTAAATCGAATACTAGGTGGCTGCTTCATAGCTAGTTGCGTGAGCACATGCGCACAATCGTTCTAGGTAAATCAACCAATCATCAACGTGGTGCTTTGGTAACCAAAGTGCCGTAGAGCGCACATAACCAGCAACTAGTTAATCAACTCCATAGTTAACGATATGGGCGCGTGTTGATAAAAGGATGGGTAAAAAACGATAGCACGTGGAGGTGAGGTTCGACCTCAAAATTTGAACGCATGATGACCTGAAGCGAATACAATCCCTCTCCGAAAACTTAGTCAGTAATCATTGTGCGTCCAACCATCCCGACAAGTATTTTAATTTGTCCAGAGAGTTTAGCAAGATTTTCGGATGCGGGGTAAAACTTTTAGGGACCACGGCTTCTTCATTATTTTGATGGTCCTCAAGAAGAGCTTCTTTTCATGCTAACGAATAATCCCTCTACCGATCGATTTACCCAGTTGGTCAAACGAAAGACCATTCAGCAGAGTGGATCATGCATTGTTAATTTCGACATCAACTAATTTGAGACAGGATATCTGAAGCACAACGGATACTCTGTCTACATACATAAATGCACATAACTATATAAATGTGCACTTCTTCACCTCCTTGATCCGTTTGTTCGTTCTATTTCACAAAAAGCTGTCTGCATCATTTGAAGCTGTCAACCAGTCATGATACAGTAAAATTGTCATTTGTGAAACGATATTCCTCTGGTCACACAGCTGAATTAACTGCTCCCAAACTAGTTACACATATATTTACCAGTGTTATAGTGAATCGTTGAATAAGGAAGTCGTAGATCCCCGTAAACCCCGGTCGGACAGCGTTGTTTACCATATTGAGGCTCAGCATCAGGTAACCATAGAATTCCACTGCATGGCTCTTTAAAGCCTAGTTTTCCTAGTTGACAGCGGGAACCACCATGTGAACACACATATACGATGCCACTGGTGAGTGTGGTGTACTGATGTGAAGCCATGTCAGGCATTTAGAAAAGCTGAATATGCGCTGCTAATTACGGCTCGGCCTCGATTTCCTCATTTTGAACTAGTAATCATATTTTCGGAGTTGTTGGTAAATTAAAAGTGTGGAGTTTTTCTAATAATAAAGTCAAAACAAGCGTAGTGGAATAGGTTGTTGTAATCCGACGTTTCGGTTTCCGTGGGCGACCTTTCTCAAGGATTTATACAATCAATTGAATACGAGTCAAATGCAACGACATTTGGGTCCACTACCGTGTCTTGTGATTGGTGCATCCCGGTGATCGTTTGGCAGTCAGATTGGGTCAGCGTGTGATTGTGTGCACGCTGACTAGGATGCGCTTCCGTTTGCTGTTGTGCGGGTTGTGATGCGTCACTTTTGAGATCCTTGCTTGACATCTGGTTACCATGCCCGCTAAGGTGTGCAGTAAGTCCAGTCCAGATAGATGAGATGATGGCTCCATCAATCCGGTTAATGCAGTTGATCTTTAGGGATCCAGCGCACGTCCATTCCACATGTGACTTAAATCCTGACTGTAGTATACGTGTACTATCGAAATTGATTTGATGTTTTGACCAGTGTGCGCGAAGTGCAATGCCAGAGTCGCGTTCCAGTTTTTTTCGACTCTGTTGGGTTTCTTGGAGGAAAACGCATGTCATATGTGCTACGCGATCCGTTCATGGGGTTGTCTAGCTGTCTGGATTATGTAATTCCCTAGACATTCTGCACAGGGAATTCGATAGACGCAGTCTGTATGGTGTTTCAGTTCGATGGGGCCATTAGCCCTCAAAAAAGTGTCGTTGTAACGTGTTGTCAATTCGAAAAAACGTTTTAATGTGTGTTTTGATGTTTTTTTATCATAATCATGAAACATTTTTCGAATGGCGTCTTAAGTACCAACTCCATAAGGTATTCCCACGGTGACCATCGGGTTTTGGTCTTCCGAGTAACGTTCATCCCATTTGTTGGACAGTGAGCATGAAAGGGCACTTATTTTGCTGTACTACCCCACTGAATCGCGTCCGTTCGTCTGCTCATATGGATTCGTCGGAGCATAGCTTCTTGATGCGATAGGTTTGCGACCCGACAACTGCGCGTTTGACGTAGTGTGGATGAGAAGACTCATAATGCGAATACCTCTCTGAATGTGTAGGTTTTCGGTGGATTCCTACCGAGAATCCATGGTTGGTGTTAAGTGAGAGCTTGTAGTCCAGGAAACCAATGGTTCTTTGCTCGTCCTCAGTTTCAACCGTTAATCGTATACTGCTCCACTGTTCACTCAAGCGGTTTAGAAAGGATTGCCATTGTGTGGTTGATATGATCGTAAATATGTCACCGACATATCTCAGCTAGGTGCGTGGTGGGTGGGTGGATTCACGTAAGACCTTAGTTTCTATATGGTGTAAGAAGAGATTATCCACTAAAGAGCCCATGGCGATACCTTCACTTTGTCTGTACAGCGTGTTTTAAAAGAGGAGATACATTATGTTTAGACACAGTTCAACACCAATAATGGCATCAACAGGGGTTAAGGTTGTTCTCTGTGCTAAAGATGTGTCGTCACACAAAACAGAAGACAGAAAATATAAACAGTCATTAATCGGTACTAGTATAAAGGGCTGTCACATCAAAGCTGACTGCTACTGCATCGTCGTTGATTTGTGTAGACTGGAGGATACTGACAAAGTCAAAAGAATCATTCACGTAACTTTCCACCATCTAATAATTCCGCTTCAACAAACTGCATAAGTATTTGGATAAGTTGTAAGTTGGGCAAGTAGTATAGTCCACAATGGAACGTATGGGGTTACCTGTTTTGTGTATTTTTGGAAACCTATAGAATCTTCCGGGTCTGTTGGATGTTAGCGCCAGTGAATGCCACCTAGCTCGACCAAACTTTGGTTTTTGCTCTTGCAGATACTTATTAACTCTCAGTTTGACCTTGTTGAGTGCAGTTCGATCTTTTCGTAGGGACCCAACTTTAGGTGTTCGAGCACCTTGTCCTCATAGTCCTTTCGATTCATGAAAATCGTTTCGTTTCCCTTGTTGACTTTGGTGATGTGGATTTACTTTTATTTCTTCAGCAGTTCGGTGCGCCTATCTCCTCCCACTACAGGTTACTTCGGATTAGTAGTCGGTTTTTGAGAATAGTGTAGATGCGTAGTCGAGCTTCCTTTGATCTCTCTACTGGGAGTTTCGAGAGTGCGGGCTCTATAACCGGAATTATTTCTCTGGGTGGTACCGATTTCCGAGTAACGTTGAAGTTTAAGCCTCCTTTTACCAATTGCATCTCATTATGAGGGATACCCCTGTTTGAGTCTACCGTTTCAGGTAAAATTGTCTGGTTATAACTTCGCAAGGGGCCTGTTGAACTTTCCTTTTTCCATGAGCTTGCATTTTTCTAATACCATCTCCATTCTTTTCGTGACTAGAGCCTTTATATGGGTCAACATATCCGGTGGTAAGAATGAATTTCAGTAGCCGTTTATAAGATGTGGACTCAAATGTCGCTGCATTTGACTCGTATTCAATTGATTGTATAAATCCTTGAGAAAGGTCACCCACGGCAACCGAAACTTCGGATTACAGCGACCTAATCCACTAGGCTTTTTTTGATTTTATAACTGAACATTATACATCACATGACGCTGAACCTTTTTAACACTCTTCGAGCTGATTTCGGCACGGAATCCCTAAATTAAATGCGGTTTCTAGACGTAGCCAAACTCATGATAACTTGCTCAAAGTGTAGTTCCTGGAACCTCAAAAAATTCATTGATACGATACACCGTTGGACGCATTTCATTGTTTCAGATAATTTTTCTTACTTTATCAGAGGAGCTGAGTTCCTCCCGAAATGACTCGTTCTTTCTAAAAATCTGCACAGTACTTCCTTTGCGATTCATCTGTTGTCTTTGCCTTCTTTCGTTGACGGTGCCCCTACGATATAAAATAGACACCTCGGAGTCAGATTGACTTGAACATTCCTCATTTTTGCCTATCTTAGCTTCTTCCAAAGATGCTGCATCGCCGGCACAAATAGGATATTGCTTTGGTGACTTGTCAAACTTTGGTTTTACTCGATTGTGTGTTTGGTGTCTATTGAATTCTTGGTGCTTGGAATACTGAATGTTGGAGCAAACCTCGTGAATTTCCAAGGTTTTCGAGACCTTTGGACTATCCAGTTTTCCTTCGAGTTTTCTGTGCATGGTCTTTTCTGAAGCTTTCAGTTTCTTAGATCGAGCTGGTGATGAACTTCCAGCGGAATCAGAGAGGCTTGAACGATCCCCAAACGTGGATGGTGCACCTTGGATTTTTTCATTGAAATTGTCCGTATCCTTCGTGCGCATAATTGTTACCGTCTGACTGCAGCTCACTAGATGAGGCTTTGTAACATTTGACTTAGCAGCTGACGGAGCTGAAATAAGAGCTGGTGATATATCCCTTTAGATTCTGCCCTCTTAGAAGGTATTATGTATGATCCAGAATGGTGGAAAAAAGAAAAACAGGGGTTTCGTGAAGGAATCTGCTCACAAGGTTGCTGAAAACTCTTCGACAGCCCACGACCGGTTTCGTCCTTCTTGGGGCTCATCAGGTAGGCGCAGTCACGAAAACAGTTCAATTTGGGTTCAAGTAGAACATAAGGTTGACAGATACTCGGGGACTGCGCCTATCTGACGAGCCTTAAGGAGGGTGAAACCAGTCGTGGGCTGTCGAAGAGTTTTCAGCAACCATGTGAGTAGTTTCGGAGTTGTTTGAACTTGCTGAATTTATTTTTGTGCAACGCCAGATTTCTGGTCAAAATCTCGCGCGGCGTGACTTAATACTATGCCAGTAGTCTCTACGTTGCTGCAAATTCAAGTGCTCGGGCGATGTGGTGAAGCCAATAGCATCTGTTGAAGGCATTTATGGGATTCGCCTCCTCAACTCTTTTCGAAAAGCCACTTTTGGATTTCCCTGAATACAAACAAGGTCGTATAATTAAATACACAATGATTAGCAAAAACGGTCTTACATAATCTTCTCAAAGCCTGCTTTTAAGACAGTTATTGTTATGGATCAGGGCTATGTTAAATGGCAGGTTTATTCCCACATTTTGTGGTTCCGTGTTAAGTATGCGTTGGCTATAGGATGGTACAAAAGAGTTGCAAGTAAAATAGTCTTTTATTCAAACTGCTGTGGCCACAGTGATACGGAGGCTTGAAAAGACGAAACTAGCGACTGGTGCATAAATATAAGTAGTCATGACATGATAAGTTGCACCACCATAGTGGACCTAAGTGTGGCTTTTCAAAACAGGAAATTTTTTGTTTTATTCTGCAGGCGAAGTGATATGACGATTTCCCCATTTATATACCAGTAACAACTTGGCTGGTAAATTTAATCAGATAACGCTTCCACGCTTTTCAAGGATTTCGCTGGGCTTGCGTCCACAATGAATGGATCTCGGAATCGTCATACAGATATCAGAACACACTTTTTCGACATCCGAATCCACCATTAGGTTCACGAATTTCCCTAGCGATTGAATATATACTGAATAAATAAAGCCGTTGACTGCTTAGGTAGTTATGTAGCGGAGAGCGGTGGGTTCGGAGAGCGTAAAGAAATTTGAGAGGTTTTACAACGGGGGTTGATGTCATCGTAGGCAAAATTATTTTCGCCTCTGTATATTTTTATCGTAACCCGTTTCCACAACAATACTGATCAAACAATCTTATGCAAAAACGCTCAGGACTCTCCTTCTCATTGTCCTGCCGATAGGCTCCTCCATCATGTGACTTATACTACTATCAATGCATGTAGTAGTGTAAAAGGCCAAGGACAAATCATGGCCGAGTTTTCAAACCTAATGCCATCAAAGTAGTTAATCGATTTGTGTCCAAATGCATTGTTCAGTTCATAGTACGCCAGTGTGGAGACCAGTCGCATGCTTGTACTTTTGGAAACCTGAAGCCTGTCCGGTAGTTTGGAAGCTATTATCAAGGAGACAATACCTTCAGGATAGGTCTGAATTGACCAGTACTGGAGTGAAACTGTTAAATTGGTTTTCTCACATCTCCTTTGTTATGAACGCCACATTGAAACTACTCTTTGGGGATTCACGTTTTTATCCTTACTTATTCTTGAGAGAGTTTGAACCTTCTATTTCCGTCTCAATGGGCTTGCCAACTGCCGGGGCTTCACCAGGATAAATGAAGTATAAAAGAGGGTACCCCTCGAAATATAGAAGTTCCATAGAAAAACAAGTGATTTTCGGTTTCCTCAAAACAGCAACCCTTCATACTTCCAAGTCTTCCGTCTCTGTTCGCCTTCATTCATCAAAAAGTATAAAATTGGATACAGTGTTTAATTGCTTGTGAAATTCTAGGGATTTCACAGCGGGTTTGTCAACCGAAATTGTTTCGGTGGTAAATCTGCATAGCCTTAACCACTTTGGGAGCTGAATAACAGAACTTGGCTGATTTCAAGCTAATGTTATCCAACCTGGACCAAAAAGTCTGTAGTTTAACCTTCATTCTTTCTTCGGTACCCCTAGCAGCTATACGTCAAAGGAATGCATCAAAGTTATCTGCGAAAGATTGTCATAGCATTGATTCGTTTTATCCACAGGGTAAAGTACCTGAACAAACACGGATTTTCAAATAGTCAAGGAAGGGTATCAACTTGTACTTGGAGTAAAACACAGATATTAGATATTTTAGTAATACTAGTTAGTGAAAACCAGTCGCTCCTTGAACTAATGGCTCAATCATAATTCAGAGGAAAAGGGCTCATTCTGCTCTGCTTGGTAAGGTGTTGTGTAAGGAAAGTTTTTTGCACTCCAATGAAACTGGCAAGGAGCATTAAAATGGCCACATTTTTCGGTCATCAGATGCAAAGTGACCGTTAGTTGGGAAGGATTGTGAAACGTATAAATTGGAGTTAGTTTCAAAGACGGCACCAATAAGTTCATGCAGCCTACGCATTCCTGGGTCCACCTGACTTTGTCTGTGATATATGATAACCAATAAAATATACAGTCTTTGGTGTTGAGAACTTAAATGAAAATCGGTTTGTCCTAAAATAAAAAGCCCAGCATTACGAATATACGTGTATCGCGATATCTCGAATACCGTAGCGATTAAAACATGAGGCGACCTGGTGCAGCACATTCAGTTGCCTGGAAGCATCACAAACGAGAGATTCAGTTGGGTTCCAGGTGAATCTCTTGAAAAACCAAATTTAATTGCAAATGGGTGTATTTTGCTCAGAAAGAAGTTTTTATTTACCGGGAGGACATTTTCAGTGGGTTCGCAAAAAATACTGAGCTTTTGATGAAGCGTGCAGATTTCACTCCCAATTAGTGCAAAGTCTTTCACCTGTACAGAAGAAGGATTTATATATAGCTAACTATTAGGTTTTCGCCTGACCCGGCGCTTCTTAAAAGGTCCGTGTTGCAAAATTTGTTAGAGGTTTGCAAAACGTAGCGTAGCGTGGAATGTTTTGCAATATCGAATATGAAACATGACATGTCTAAAAAGCATCAGGTTCAATATCTTTTATCTTGTGTATTTTCTACTCACGATGGATACCAGTGCAATGGAGTTGACTTTGTGGATTTATTAATTTCAACGAGTTTTTTGGCACCTAGTGGTGCGTTCGATGGCCGATCCAAATCCGCAATTTCGAGTAAATAAAACCGCATAAGTCTACCAGACGTAAGAATGTCTAGTTATTTCCAGTAGATGCTTCTTACTTCAAGTATGCCGTAAATCAAGAATCAGTGTACAGCTGCACGGACGTGAGTGTCCTACAAACCTCTATGGAGAATCGAACTTGGAGTCCCTCGGATAGAAGCTGAGTAGCCAGTCAGTACGTGACCGATCGATGTAAATTCCTTGATAACAGAACGAGTAGCGTTGCTAATCAGCCGCTCATATCGGAACGGCCAACTGTTGAAACTACTATCCCTTAGGTCGTGGGTTCAAAACCACCTTGATTTTGGTGGAATACGCATGGATGATGCCTAATAAGTATGTGACACGTGCAGCACTTTTCATCTGTTCCGCAAAGAATATCTCCACAGTGAAATCCCAAAATACCCTAATGCAATCGGCAACTTCTTTCGATGCTTCTGCCACACAGCATTTTTAAATGAGGTACTGCGCACATTACTGCTAGACGGAAGTTAAAAAAGTCAGATAGCCTTGAGTGAATTCAGGAAATCGGGAAATCCATTATGAAGCGTGAAACATAACGTTTTCTTACAATTTTATCAGCAACAGTGTCGGGCAGCTAAATTGTTTAGAACCAGCTGCGTATATTTTGAAGCTTGAAACACTTTGCTTACCTTGATGCGCCTTTATTTCAATTTTCTGTATATGCGTTTCAATATAACAGCACGCGTAAGTTAACGTAATCTTAAAGGAACAAACAATAATAAAGAATCCTGAGTGAGCTTGTGGTGTAAGTAAATAGTTGTAAGTTTACCAAGACTCAACAGCTTGATTTGTAAATATCTGTTCTAGAAGCTTACCTTGATGCGCCTTTATTTCAATTTTCTGTATATGCGTTTCAATATAACAGCACGCGTAAGTTAACGTAATCTTAAAGGAACAAACAATAATAAAGAATCCTGAGTGAGCTTGTGGTGTAAGTAAATAGTTGTAAGTTTACCAAGACTCAACAGCTTGATTTGTAAATATCTGTTCTAGAAGAGAAAGTGGTTTTAACGCAACCCAAAAAACGGCCCTCTTTGCAATTTGCAAATTTCAGAAAACTCTAAAAAAATCAAAATTTTGCAAAAAAAAATGCCAGAGCGCCAATTTGAAGACAATTCAGCATTACTGCTGCTTTCATTTGTCTTTCACAGTATTTGTTTCAGGTTCGTAGGCTTTTCCTGGCTCATTAAAAGCGTAGACATTATAGCGCTTTTATGTAACTTGAAGGATAAAAACAAGTTTTACATCAAAGGATACATCTATGGGCGTCTAGATGCATATTCAGTTTTTAATACAAAGCCTAAATCTGAGTAATCGGTCTCAAACATGGTCAAGCACACATCAACTTTTTCGGCCGAAAAAAATAAATTACGGATTTCTGCGTTTGTAAAGGAGATTTAACAACTTGGTTTTCACACTAAAAGTGTCCTCCTGTCAGTCAACAGAAGCTGATAAAGAGCAGTGACCTCTATAGTTATGTTTGGATTTGAAGTTTGATAGCGGAAGGCTAATAAAATGCGTCCGAAACAGTCGTTATGGTTGGAAAGTGCGTTAACTTGTGTACTTGATCTTATATGGTCACAATATTTAGACGTGTGATTAAAAAGTAGAAAAACAAAAAATCACGTTTTTGCTAAGGTTTCTATTGCCACTACCTAGAAGAATTTCGAATTCAGACATTCTCATCATTTTCTTCTTTTGTTC